AATGTCCTTCTGCTACATGAATGCCTTCTTCTATCTGTTTCATGAATATTCTATCACCGTGAGAGATGTTGGAAGCATTGCAGTCTTTCTCATTAAAGTCTACAGAGAACATGCGGATCACATCATTTGGAACAAACTGCTCCTTCACAGATGTTCTTTGAGATAGATGAACTCGGACGGCAGACATAGCTTGAGTGGAATTTCACATGACATCACTCTGTGACTGATGCCAATTGAATCAGAGTTCTCAATTTGTGTTTGATCTATGATACCGACAACACCCCATCCCAGGTCTGTACGTTGTCCATATGGTTGACCTTCCTGAACTGGTGCAATAACCTCACGAGGTATGAGTGCTTGTGGGCAATTATAGCCTATCAATAGACTGATGTCAACATCATATGTTGGCTTCAATACATCACACAGCTGTCGTAAGTGTGACCATACTTGCACTTTGTCGGGGGTCGGAATATGGTCCTTATTGGCTGGTATCACATCCCTTGAATATGTTCCAGGGAGAGCAATCCTGAACACATTGTCCATTCCTCGAACTTGAAGACCTCTGACCTTCTTGCTTTTGACATGTGCATTTGCTGAAGTCATTGTAGAGAGCAACAGATTAACTGGTGTACCTGTGACACCGAGTTTGTTGCACAAGTCTTTTAACACAAAAGTCGCATCAGATTGCGTATCCAGCAATGCATGTCAACAGTTCATTTGACGTATAATCGGAATGAGATACCCACACGGGTAAAATCATGGAGCACTTATCCACAGAATTGCTTCCATTACTGAGATGGCTAATACCTTTCAGCTTTGTCTCCTCAGAAGGTTTAGGGAGATCACCATGTAACATAGTAGCATGAAGATGTGAGCATGTTTTACATGTTAGCCTGTTCTGACAAAACTTTGAAAGATGTCCTGGCTTGAGACATCCAAAGCACACTTGACTGTCTATTAGGAACGGTTTTCTTTCAATCAAGGGTTTAGACAACAATGTCTCACAATCATCAAGCTTGTGTTGACCTTTACAGAAAAGGCAAGTTTCATATTTCACATTTGATTTCTTGTCTAATTTACCTGTGACAGTGCTTAGAGATGAATCTTTCAGATTTATGTCGAACACTGTACCATGTGGTCGTTTAGCTGTCTGATGCTGTGACGATGCACGAGTGTTCCGGGGCTTGTTCTCATGTTTCAATTCCAAGGGAAAAGAAGTGACAGGATCACACATTATTTCTGCTTCCTTAGCAATGAAAGTCACAAATCTTGAGAATTTAGGAAACTCTGATGTCTGTTCCCTATATTCGGCGACTTTTCGTCTCCAACAATTGAGGAGCCAATCAGGTAGCTTCTGAATAAGCTTACGATTTTCACATTCATCATTTAGGATGTCTAGTGATCTGACGCTTGACATTGCTGTTTCACACTGTCTGAGAAAGTCTGCAAACTTACGTAATGCATTACCATCCCTTGCTTGTAGTTTCGGCCATGAATCTAGACGGTCATGAAACGCACCTCCAATAATGAAATGGTTTCCAAAACGTTCATCAAGCAATTTGATCACCTCACTAAATGCATTCTCTGACGATAAAAGAAAAAATCCATTGACAGCGGTCGGGTAGCCTAGTGGTTAAAGCGTTCGCTCGTCACGCCGAAGACCCGGGTTCGATTCCCGACATGGGTACAATATGTGAAGCCCATTTCTGGTGTCCCCCGCCGTGATATTGCTGGAATATTGCTAAAAGCGGCGTAAAACCTCACTCACTCACTCTTTGGCTTGTCCGTCAAGATAGCGTTGCAAATAATAGATTTGTTCACCTTCAGGAATACCTCGCCTCCCTATGAGGACATTGAATGCACTTTTCCATTTTGGGTACATTAGAGGGTCCCCAGAGAAAGTTCCTGGCTCTGGTGGAGGTAACTGCCCAATGTTTATCTGATTTGCTAAGGCCTTGATTAAATCTTCATTCTGAGATTCTCTGAGCGGAACGTTTTGACTGAACAGAACATTTTGCGAGTCTTGCGAATCGGAACAGATTCTATGTCACTTGTGGCACATGACTCATGTGGAGCTTTAATTTCACTTTGTGTAAGATTCTCAACCTGAACTGAGTCAATATAATCTTGTACAAACATGTTTTTTCCATCCGGACATAAAGCAGGAGAATGAACAGAATCCTCATTCACTTCACTTTCTAATTTCTCTACTGCTTCTAATTGTGCCAAAGCCATAGATAATTTCATTTCAGTTTGACACCTTTCAAGCACAGCTCTCTTTTGATTTTCAACTTCATCAAATTTCAATTTAGTCTTCAATGCTGCAGCTTCGGCTGTAGCAGCAATTTCGGTCTCCTACAGTTTTGACACATTCGACATTTTTGATGACTTAGTCTTTACAGATTGACATGATTTGCAGTCAGCGAATTTCCGTTCACTCAAACCAAATTCAAGTTCACACAGTTTATCACTCACGGATTTAATTAAATCAAAATGTTTTGATTCAATCTCGTCAAATTTTGCAAGCAAATGTTCATCAGAATAATTGAATTCAGTTAGTTTCCCATGTTCACTACACACAATTGCCATACGGTCTTCTAAACAATCACGAATTGAACGCAGTTCAGATATGTCCACACTGTCAGATACTAACTTCATGACACTACTCGCCTGCGGAGGCCATGCAGATAGTGCAGATTTGAAACGTTTCACACATAGTTCAATCTTATAATCAGTGTATTCTTGTGTGGGTTTAGCTGCACGGCTACTTAAATCATCATCACAATTGTTCATATGTCAATATTCAAATCCATGCTGACACTATTGAAATTCAACTTACTCCCGGTACACGTTCTTTCCACTCAATCGATGTTTTACTATAATGTTTTCGAAAACTCTGAACGGAGAAACTGAGTATTCATGATGTTTATTTTACAGAATTTCTAATATAGAGAAACTCACATTTGTCCAATTCGCTGAAATCCGTAAAACACCTTGACGGAATGCGGATAAACAAAAGCCTTTCTCACCGGAAAGCATGGTACTCGCTCCATACCCCAAGGGAGCTAAAAAATTCTCACCACTAATGAAAAGAAACAATAAAGCGCTATTAAAATATCTTATTACCATATCTGACTGACTACCGTTACACTCGGTGATATCCAACATAGGCTCGATAACAATAATGTAGCAGACATTGTATATCCGGAATACCCGTAGTTGCTTAGACTCAGTGATAGAGTGCGTGAGTGAGTAGGTTTATATTTAGCAGTGTGTACACGTGGGGGTAACTGGGGGGGGGGGGGGGGGGGGGGGACTACCACACGATGTGACAATTCAGATCGTTCCTTTGCGCTAGCCCCCATCCGTAACCAGCAAGAAGACTCGTCAATGCCATTTGCGTAAACACGACAATCCAGTCAGGGTGGGTGAGTGAGCGAGTGAGTTTGGTTTAACGCCGCTTTTAACTCCATTCCAGTTATGTCACGGCGTGTCAGCTGGATGTTGGGGGGAAATCCAATCTCACTAAAATCAGATCTAAGTTCTCGCTGCCGCTTAACGAAGATCTGAGGACATCCCATTACGGGTCCATCAGAACGACCTTTCGCGAACTTTGACCGGCCACTGAAATGACTAACACTCGTTTCAACCTGGCGACTTCCATTTCAGACAAAGCTTGAAAAATATCTTGACACAGTTCTCGATTTAATTTTTGAAATCTGAACAAACAAACATTTCGGAATGTCTAATATATGGTTGAGATCGTATGGCAGTGCTTCTTACGTACTGTGCAACGCCTCCTCTGTTCAAATGTTTATCCCATGGAAGCGAGAGATAGACGATGATTATATTTCAACCAATCACGACGTAGATCGTGATCACGTGAGATAGCGAGAGCGAACCAGGCGTCAGTGCGTTTACGAACCTTGCAACAAGAAGACACGGGTGATTATGCTCTGACAATTCAGTGACTTAATCGAAGCCCTTTAGCTCAAAGTGTGTACAATTAACGTTTGAGTGGTCATCAACATCCATCTGTTCTTTACCAAGAACAGGAAACGGGAGATAGACGATGATTTTGACGGAATCAGTAGTACGGACCCTAACTGTCGTTCGGAATACCCCGTGTTAACGTTTTCGAGGTTGCATAACCAGAAAACATATTCCGACTGTCACTTTCATGATCTGGTTGGCGACGCTTTGATTGGTCGGATGAAAGGTCGTTCTGAGGTGACCCGAAATGGGATGTCCTCAGATCTTTGTTTTGCAATAGCGAGAACTAAGATCTGATTTTAATGAGATTGAGTGACAATACTAGAAACATAATCAAGGCGAACCGAGAATCGAACCCAGGAGGTTTCTGGTGTGCCGAACGGACGCAAATCTGCACAGCGAACTGCGGCGCCTAGCCTCTCCTGCACCCCAAAACCGAAACACAACGCGTATGACTAAAAGTATTTTGGTTAAAGAATGCGGATAGAGAACCAAATATCAAAGGTCAAGTAGGGACTACGTTCAGTGTTTATTAACAAACATGGCGTCGTCCTTGTCATTCGGCGATCGAGTCAGAATTGAGCCAAGGCAATAACATACAATGTTTATTCCTAATACAGGATATTTACTATCCCCAAACACACTCGCGTGATAACCCCCATTTCTCTGAATGGCGAAAACAAACATTTTGCTCTTGGTCCCGAAATATTAATCAACATTGACTGCCGCTGTTCCCCTTCAAAAGCTTTCTGCCAAGAAGCAGCATGCTTCAATTTAAATTTTAAAAGCCTTTTAAATAAATAAACTAGATGTAGGAGTCTTCCCAAAGGGGAAATGCATATACATGTTTTCATATAATTATTTTTTTTCAATAAACACACAGCGTTTATATAGGTAATAGTTATTGATGGAAGCCTTGTACATATGATTAATGTAAAGTGTAAGTATGTATTTCAGACAATTTGGACGAAGAGAAAATTATCAGAATAAAACAATCCGATGAACCTGGTATCAGGATCACGGGAATATGCAAATGAGTTCACCTTGCAGGAACTACTTTCATATTCATACACGACCTAAGCTCCACACACTGATGCGATGCCTACTCGCTTAATAACCATTGCGAGGTAAGGCTCAGTGGGTTTCAATGGTGTGTTCAGGATGGGTCGTGTTTCCTCATGTGTTATAGTCAGGGGTGTGTGATACAAAACTGATATCGGGTTGATTACGAAGCTGAAGACATTTTGATAACCCTCAGGAAAAACATTTGTATGTTTCACCCACTCCATTCAGGACTAATTAACTACTAATCTCCTCGTAGTAAATCTGTATGGACTCTCTGGTGACCGTTTCTGTTTGTAAACTTGTGTTCCTTTACGGTCCTTGTTGATGACAATTTATCTGTGTATTTGAATTGCCCAGGGTTCCGTTCTCGCTGCTAAAGAAAGAAGAAGAACCGCACCCATTCACTGGAGCTGTGAGAAAAGTTTTCTTGTTTAACTCCGCACTGTTAATAAACCAGATAAACCAGTTATGGATATTATGAGAAACGGTAAGTACCGTGCGATTTTTGTGTGATGTATGTGTTATGTATGTTATGGTTTATATATGTGATACATGTGATATCTATGTGACAGATGTGATATGTTTGTTTGTTGTTTAACGACGCACTCAGCCATATTCCAGCTATATGACGGCGGTCTGTAAATTATCGAGTCTGGACCAGACAATCCAGTGATTGATGTCATGAGCATCGACCCACGCAATTGGGATACGATAACATGCCATGCGTCCATTTGTGCTTCCTTCTCTACAACAGAGAGTGCCAAAGTCAAGCGCGCTGGATGCCGAAGTCAAGCACGCTGGATGCCGAAGTGAAGTACGCTGGATGCCGAAGTGAAGTACGCTGGGTGCCGAAGTACGCTAGATGCCGAAGTGAAGTACGCTGGATGCCGAAGTGAAGTACGCTGGATGCCGAAGTCAAGCACGCTGGATGCCGAAGTGAAGTACGGTGGATGCCGAAGTGAAGTACGCTGGGTGCCGAAGTCAAGTACGCTGGATGCCGAAGTGAAGTACGCTGGATGCCGAAGTGAAGTACGCTGGATGCCGAAGTGAAGTACGCTGGGTGCCGAAGTCAAGTACGCTAGATGCCGAAGTGAAGTACGCTGGATGCCGAAGTGAAGTACGCTGGATGCCGAAGTGAAGTACGCTGGATGCCGAAGTGAAGTACGCTGGATGCCGAAGTCAAGCACGCTGGGTGCCGAAGTCAAGTACGCTAGATGCCGAAGTGAAGCACGCTGGATGCCGAAGTGAAGTACGCTGGATGCCGAAGTGAAGTACGCTGGATGCCGAAGTCAAGTACGCTGGATGCCGAAGTGAAGTACGGTGGATGCCGAAGTCAAGTACGCTGGGTGCCGAAGTCAAGTACGCTAGATGCCGAAGTGAAGTACGCTGGATGCCGAAGTGAAGTACGCTGGATGCCGAAGTCAAGCACGCTGGATGCCGAAGTGAAGTACGCTGGATGCCGAAGTGAAGTACGCTGGGTGCCGAAGTCAAGTACGCTAGATGCCGAAGTGAAGTACGCTGGATGCCGAAGTGAAGTACGCTGGATGCCGAAGTCAAGTACGCTGGATGCCGAAGTGAAGTACGCTGGATGCCGAAGTGAAGTACGCTGGATGCCGAAGTGAAGTACGCTGGATGCCGAAGTGAAGTACGCTGGATGCCGAAGTGAAGTACGCTGGATGCCGAGGTGAAGTACGCTGGATGCCGAAGTGAAGTACGCTGGATGCCGAAGTGAAGTACGGTGGATGCCGAAGTGAAGTACGGTGGATGCCGAAGTGAAGTACGCTGGATGCCGAAGTGAAGTACATTAGATGCCAAAGTCAAGCACGCTGGATGCCGAAGTGATGCTAGATGTCATGAAATGTTTGTCAGGTACGCGGATGCCAATATTTCAATATCTAAATTTAGTTTGGGTATATATTTTCTTCAGAGTGTGTCAAATCAATATTTAGCTATACCCCGATGAGCACTCATAGTCATGCATTCTATGTGAAAATCCCAGGCTGTGTTGTGTCTGTATCTGAAGCGTGTCCGTGTGTTCATATCATGTATATTATTATCTTGTGATCAACAGAGATTACAATGCCCTTGAGTGGAGGATATCCGTCGGGTATTGCCGAACTGTGTTCCGTCCTTTGTGACTATACCATTGCGCGCTCCAGCTGACCTAGCTTACACACAGAAACTCGGAAAATATGTTCTGTGTAACGGTTTCACTTCCCGGTTCAGATCGGGCAAGAAATTGTGACAAGGAAGACCCCAACAGTGTTTTTTTATTTTCTAAATATAATGAATAAATATCCAAGTTTCGGTTTAGACAGATATATAATGTATCGTGTAGTTCAACACATCCTTTCCTTGAAACCAGTGCAACGAAATTAAGTCCATATGTGTAATCTTGATGTATGTGTTTTACGTGATGTCTGTATGTGGGATATCTCTCTCTCTCTCTCATTCTCTCTCTCTCTCTCTCTCTCTCTCTCTCTCTCTCTCTCTCTCTCTGATCTATTGTTATGTACTAGTGTGTACGGTGTTAATGCGAAGTTTGTGTGTGATCTATGAGTTATACACCAGCATGTGCGGTGTATTTGAGTTGTATGAAAAGTAATACATGTCAATAATCGGTCATAGTGATTTATAAACATACCGAAATATTTCTGTGTACAGAAATTAAGTCACAGAATATGTCACTCTGAATGAATTTCAGGACGTGTGTCCAGCTAAGGCCACAATCACGTGGGTTTGTTTTGTGTATCGTTTAATGCCTCGCAATTCAAACAAGTTGACGGCTGTCTGTAAATATTCGAGTCTGGGCCAGACAAACCGGTGATTTATTGTTTTATGAACAACATATCACGCCGTCGAGGTACGACGACAAACCACCGAGCCTGACCTATCTATCCATTCGGTCTCTCTTACGACAAACAATATTTGCTTGTAACCTATTTCAAAAATAATCACCGAGGGTGAGTTAGCATTTAGCGGTTCGATGATTTTGTGTCTTTCTTAAAAGAATGTATCTGCAAATATGACATAATTTCAGATCAAACAAGTTAACACTGTCTTTTTCATATGGATCTCAGATATCCAGACACTGCTGTGACAAAGGACTGGAATGTGAGATCCCCGAACGAGGGGCCACAGAGGTAGCGAGCACGGGCTGTATCCTGTCTGCTCATGCCCCCCCCACGTCATAACCCGGATGTAAAGTTATGTAGTGTGTGGATCAACGCGTGTGTACACAGAGTTCATGAACATATTGCACAACACTGATCGAGTTGATAGCACTCCAACTGAAACCCTTCATCTTTTCTGACAATTGCGACGGACACGTGTAATTTACTTGTGAGAACACACCACAAACTGAAACTTCGCCGGCTTCCTTTTACTGCTGAAAAGATCACAACAGACATATTTCATGGATTTCAATATTCCAGAGATCACACTTTTGTGGCGATTAGTGATAAATTCCCTATCTTTTTTCAGATTCGTCTCATCAGCAAGAAAGGAAACCTAAAACTGAAGTTTAGAAGAGGCACCACACTCTTATATCGCCATGGCTGTCCAGCTCATCGACCACGTGAAGAAGGAGACGGTGCTTCTTAGAAGTGAGCATTACAAAGCTGGGAGGTTTCTCCAGGTCACAGATGATCTGAAGCTATGTGTCGAAGGTCGAAGAAACGACTCAAGCAACGTGGTGAGTTTCAGTGAATTTACTGGAATATCCGAGGACTCTGTCGACGGTTCCTGTGGTGATTGCCTTGTGTCCATTCAGTTTGAGCACCGAGGAAATAACTACGTCGTGTGTCCCCTGAGGAGGAGACTGACAACGAACACAACCCTGCAGCTTCGGGTTAAGAAGAAGAAGCTTGAGGAAACACTTGATAGAAAGGCTGAGAAAGTCAACAGGAAGTGTTACATATATTGGTTTAAAGTCCAATGTTCGGGAAATAGGACTCTTGTGTATGAATCATTGGCTTATAAAGATTTTTACATTTCCATAGAAGGGGAAAATGTGCTTTTGAGGAAGAATACTCTTGGTATACCTGAAGAGGGGAATTTTCAGATCGATATCTCCCCAAAACACAGGTTTACAGCAGCATTTAGAGAAACGACTGAGGAACGTCTGGAGACAGTCGATGGAGAAATGCGCTGTATGGCGGTCACCAAGGAAGACGATCAATTTCGGAATTCAGGGGAGTATGTGATGGGCAAAACAGGTGCTCATATAACGGACTTACACGTCACAGAAATTAGACATTGTGAACAGCATATGGAAAAGTGCGCTGTGAAGAAATCAACACCAAACGACACCTTTGAAGTAGTGCCACCTGTCCGAGCTAAGCAATCGTCTGACACGGGAAACATGTCGTCTGAATCTTCAGAAATGTCGTGTGCTGCCAGTGATATGTCCTCATCTGAGGAATTGCCATATATTGATAGCGAGTCTGTGTGTGCTGGGGCTGAACCGTCGTCTGTTACGCATGACAAAGCGCCTTCTGAAGAAGAAACGTCATTTTCGATAAAGGCAATGTCTGCGGGAAGTACGCCATCGACTGAAGACCATTCGTCTGGCGTTGGTGAGCTACCAGCTTCAGGGTGTGACCTATCGTATGGCCAGACTACACAGGAACAGGTGGTCACAGAAATATCCTCTACGTCTGAGGTCGACATTAGGATTGATGATCAAGACCTTGTCCGTACCATACACACACAGACACAGACGTCCATAGCAAATGTTATGATTGAGGAGTTTGGGAAAGATGGCAACAGTTCAAGTGAGATTAACAAATATTCTGGAAAGAGATCAGTCATCAAAGAAAAAAGACGAAACAAAAGGTTTGCTTTGTCAAGATTATTTTCTTGTTTGTCGTCTCGCACTGCCGACTGACACTCAAACAGAATGTGTTATATTTGTACATGTAAAGGGCTGATGATATCACTTGGTCACCAAGCGCAGCCGACAGAGAGATACACATAATGTGTTTTATTATATAGTTCAGTGAAGACTGGATGGGTACTGGAGTTATGTTATAACCCGGACGTCTACACTTAAATGTAAAGACTTGGGAAAATACCTGCTTTACAAGAAAAGAAGATTGTTCTCTCGGTATGTCTCGGTATGTGACGAAAATGTGGGTCCAAGACTTTACCATAATAACTTGAAACATTTACCTGAAAGAAGCTGACATTTGTGGTGAAAAGAAGAATAGCCTTTCAGAAACGGAGATCAGTTGAATATTTTGGTTTTTATATGTTTGGAAACGAATATTGCGAAATACTCAGCTGCAATACTCAGTCACGTCATAACTTTATTATTTCACTCTGAATAACGTCATTACTCGCTATGAACCATGTCTTGTCATTATTATTCAAATGTAAATGTTTTTAATCTGGTGAACATTGTTACTTCTATTCTATGTTAACAACCTTAATATATCCCATGTAAACTGTATTATTCTTTATTACTCATCCGTGAAAAGACCACCCGTTTAATAACAATACATCTTTAAGTGTATAATAACATTCGAATGGAGACATCAGTTGCACTGTGCAACTAAGTTCTCTGCAACGTCTACTGTACTCCTAGACGCATAGACGCATGCTTGTCGTAAGAGGCGACCAACGGGATCGGGTGGTCAGGCTCGCTGACTTGGTTGATGCATGTCATCGATCCCGATTGCGTGGATCGATGCTCATGATATCAATCACTGGATTGTCTGGTCCAGACTCGATCATTTACAGACCGCCATCATATAGCTGGAATATTGCTGAGTGCGGCGTTAAACAACAAACAAACAAACAAACAAACAAACAATCCAACCAACGATGCATAGACACGCTACGTATGTTTCTCACTATTGTATCATTGACATTTAATTTGAATACGTCAGGTCCGTGACTTTTTCTAAAATTTCGTTTGTCATAGAGTATACGTGTTCTCACTATTTGTAACTGTTGTTGTGCAAGCATCGTGACAAGAGCCGATCGTCTCGAGGTGTCTCGGCTTACCTCCACGGAGTCGCCTTCAGAGGGGGGTAGTGGCAGGTGTGTCTAACTTGGTGATGTGTGTGTATATACAAGTTGTTATGAACACGATTATAGAATCTTATCGTTGATAATCGTTGATAATCGTTGATAATCGATCTTGGAGAAAACTGAGCACTGTATTACCAGTTTGTATCTTTTACCTATTAATTACCTTATGGCATTTATGGCTTACGGTAATAAAAGTGTGTATTACTTAGAATATCCTGTTGTTATGCTGTGTTTGCACAGTGAATGAATTACATGTGGCGACAGACAGTGATAATATAAAGGTCATTACATGTTAAAAGGCTGGCATACCTAGAAAGTTGAACGATTTGCTACAAAAGGTTATATTCTTGAGTGAGTGTGTATGGTTTGACGCAGCTTTTAGCCTTATTCCAGCAATATGACGGCGGGGGATTACACAACCGCATGGATAGCTTTATTATCAATATTAAGACCATTGTGGAGTGTGGCTGGCACACATCTGTCTATCTTGTTGTGTGGAACTGAAGCGAGGGGTTTCGTCCCTCGCCAGACATTGTCATTCGTTAATTCCCCTCTTTGGTTGAACTTGAAATTATGAACTATTCTAAGTGTAAGTTTTGTTTGTTTGTTTGTTGTTTAACACCACACTCAGCAATATTCCAGGCATATGACGGCGGTCTGTAAATAACCGAGTCAATCCAATGGTTGACATCAGGAACATCGATCTACACAATCGGGGTACGATGACATGCATCAGCCAAGTCAGTGATCCTGACCACCCGACCCCTTTAATCGCCTCTTACGACAAGCGGGGGTAGCTGCAGACAAATTCTTACCCGGATCTTCAATGGCCCTAAGTTTGTTTGTTTGTTGTTTAACGCCGCACTCAGCAATATTCCAGCTATATGACGGCGGTTCCCGGGACCTAAGAGTTATTACAATTGTACAGTACTGGGTATGTTTGCTTTCCCAACAAGATGATACTATTTTGAAATCTCTCTCTCTCTCCAATCACACGCACACACACACACACACACACACACGCACGCACGCACGCACGCACACGCACACACACGCACACGCACACGCACACGCACACACATATACTTGCGTATAATGTGCATGTAGAATGTCTGGAATGTCATGGCATATGTGGCAAGAGACATGGCAACAGTCGGTGAAGTCGCTCTAATGTCAAAGCCGTAACATCACCCACATCTGTCAATTGTTGGTAGGTCGGGGGTTATCACACGGTTTGGAACAATGGGGATATGGTCGAGGAAAGGTCTCCTCGATTTGTCATCACCCATTGTTTCGAATACGGAGTGCAGTCATGCGTACTGTTTGGGTCGACACTGAAGGTGCCGTGGGTCATCTCAAAACTTGTACTTCCATTGTAGTCTGGACCAGACAATCCAGTGATTGACATCACGAGCATCGATCTACGCAATTGGGATCAATGACATGCATCAACCAAGTCAGCGAGCCTGACCACCCGATCAGACTTGTCGTATTAGGCAACTAACGGGATCGGGTGGTCAGGCTCGCTGACTTAGCTGATGCATGTCATCGTAGATTGATACTCATGATGTCAATCACTGGATTGTCTGGTCCAGACTCGATTATTTACTGACCGCCGTCATATAGCTGGAATATTGCTGAGTGCGGCGTTAAACAACAAACAAACAAACTGGTCACAAGTTCGCTATGTATCTGTCCTTTCTTCAAAATGTCACTCAACCTAAGGTGAGAATGTCCAATTTTGTTCAACCTTGTGTCCGCCATTCAGTGTGGTTTATGGTTCGAGAGCCTGCTGTTTCAAAATTGTTCCACATTTCTTCCGTAGTAAGTGAAAGCCATCACCGCAACATCGTTAAAACCAGTAGGCCTCACAAGGGGCAAGGCACCGGCTCGGGCACGACAAGATTTACTGATGGTCACTGGCAAATCTGACTTGAAGACCAAACCGCTGAACACTTCGCCATATTGCTTGACGATAGTGAAACATAAACCCCTTGTCAGTGGAACACAGCAGCAGTTTCAGAGTCAGTTACTAATAGACTAATAGTTGATTTTTCAGGCCTGCTGCTTTCTGCTTGACGATGGTGAAGAAATTGATGGTAGGTGGTCTGCGTCTTGTCGGTAACAGGGAATACACTAGTGGAAACATCTTCTGACAGGCGTGAATGGTATACAGCTGGTAGAGCAGTAACGACGATATGCTGAAAGTACCATCTCTCAAAGTAGGTGTCTGCTGCGGCCCAATATTTTAAGTTACTGCCGGTTGCAAATATCAGCATCTGGTCGTCGGGATGCAGGAGGAAATTTTCATTACTTGAAGTCTACGTGTAGGACAAGGGAAGATGGGGGTCAGATCGGGGACATGGAGAAGGCGGCAGGTGTTTGGCTCTGGAACGGTAGGGGCTGGCCTGGACACTGTAGAAGTTTGATGCTGTCTCTCCAACTTCGCTTGCTCGAAGACCTACAAAATTCATATTGTAATGCCATTCTCACATGTACGTATTCATAATTACAAAAGACCACAAGCAAAGAATCGAACAAATTTTGCAAACTGTCTGACAACCCTTCTTCATATTTAGTTGGCGCCGTGAAGATCCGGGTTAGAACAGGTCTTCAGCAGCCCATACTTGCGTGGATCGATGCCCATGACATCAATCACTGGAGTGTCTGGTGCAGACTCTAGATTATTTGCAGACCGTCGTCTTATAGCTGGAATATTGCTGAGTGGGGCGTTAAACAACAACAAACAAACAAAAACATTCCAAGCACCGTGGTAAAGTGGCGGTTCGATCAGGTCGTGTCATTCCAAAGACGGTTAAAGATGGTTCTTTTTGTTACCCTGCCTGGCGCTCGGCATTAAGAGGATAAAACAAGGACTGGTCGGCTCGGAGTCAGTACACTGTGTCTGAGTGGATTATCCAAGTTAAACTGCAGCATGGGATAACACTACAGAATCCACATAAGTCAGGACTAGTACAAGCAGTCACACTCACGCGCACTAGCCTGCATGCACGTCGCTATATGAGTGCAATAATGTTGGTTGAACGCCACTTTTAAAGTAAACCCCATTTGACCCCACCTCACTTCCCTAGTGTTATGCTGTTTGTATTCCCCTTTGATTCGTGTACACGCCGTGAATGTGATGGAGCCTTCTAAACAACCAACAACGTGAGTGGTGTCATGTTTGTTTGTTATACATGCATTCCAGACCATTAAAACGAACCTCGACCCACGCCGGCCGGCCGGCCATGATGACACACTATAAACCACGTCCCTGGGTCAGACCATGCAGTTTCTGAGCCGGAATCTCCATTAGGTCAGGTACAGTTAGACATTCATTGCATGATCTTAATAAAACTACCATAGTTTAAGTCTTTGAATGGCATTTAGAAGTGATACACACAAGGAAGATTACTTACGGATGGGTTTTAACAGTATTCCAGTTATAAAACGGCGTGTCAGCTTAATGTGGGAGAAAAGCCCGAAGTGAAGCAGGTCTCAGACGTTTACTTCTTCGGTGAAACCCACAAGCACGGGTATGGTGCTGACAAACCTAGAAACATTCCTCAGCTATCATACCTAACCCACCCCGCCCCTCCCCACGCGTGATGTTTCTTGTCACTTCTCTCACGCGTCGAGGGGAAACCGGCTCTCAGGTGGTAAAGCTTTGGGGCTATTATTATCCTTACTGCGTGCAAAACGTTATTGCCCTGGAATGCTTAAAACTCGTGGACACGGAAACATTAGACAGGCCAGGAAATACTCGAAACTATTACGTGCGTGATAAATAGTAGGCAGGGAAGTAAAGTTCCGACTCTCGACTGTCCTTGATTCAACGATTTGATAAATTACCGACAATAAAACATTTAATGTCAAGGACATGGCAGGATCATTTAAGGTGGAAGTTCGGCGTTAGTCCGTCACGACTTGTTAATATACACATGGACAAAACTTTAGCGCCCCCTGGAAAAGTCCATCACAAACGCGCGACCGCCTATGTAATTGATGAAATCATTTTGGTAATGACACGAACAGTTATCGATATCTGGGATGTGAATGTTTACTCTCGGTTTGAGCCACTCGTTAAAACTTATTGAAAACGCAATCACCCGACGCTAAATCCCGGCAGGGCTTGCCTGTCCCACGACTGTCAACTGGACATGGCCACACTGCAGAGGAATCTGACGGGTGACAGATCCACGCCTCATATCCTGGATGCGATCGCAGGACCACATTTGGTTGAACCAAACCCGTCCACGATGACGACAACGCGAGATCACGCACACATATAGATAGGTTACACAGTATTGTAGGCAGGGTATAGGTTTTAACAGTGAATCCATACACATGCACACAAGTTAAGCGCCACCCACGATATTTGTGAGCTGTTACTTTTGGCACTTAAGGTTAATATTATAACGAGATGTACGATTGTTATAAGCCGTATATGTAAACCTCATGTGATGCAAAAGTTGTCCCAAAGCAAGTTTATCTTGTGTTCCAAAAGAATATAAGCAGAAAGGAATTTTATCGAAGACCAGAAATTGAAGGATTAGAAAACATTGAAAAACTTTTTTTGTCATGTAACTGTCATGATATCAGCAGACCATATCAGGTGTCACATAGACACCCTAGGGAGTGCAGAGTCTATTGCAAGAGTCTCTAATGGGTAATCCACTGCAGTCTGAAATCTGTTGAAGTGGCAAATGGATTTCGTCTGACTATCCTGAAAAGACGTCTATCCTCTCTGTTAGAGGTCTTTCTTGGCCTACCAGACCTATGCCTGTCATTGACATCATTGGTTTGACCATGTTTGACAATCAAACGAGTGATAACACTGTGATGACGACCAATTTGTCTTGCAATGGCCCTGCATGACATGCCAGCATATTTCATGCCTATCACTTGCCATCTTTCAGCGTTCGTTACCTTTCTCCTCACCATGGCTAATTTTCAACCTCTATTGGAAGGGGAATCTCACACAGGAGCAAAATGCAACAACGTGTCTGAAACTTGAATTTCACTATTTATAGGGTAGGGGAACTGTAGCAACACGTAAAGCACGCTTTCCTTGTGGTATCTGGACAAATTTGGGTTCATAAAACTATGGAAGCCTAATTCAGTCATACATCATCATATTTCGTATTTCTGATTCCCACACGTGAAATCAAGAGACTATGAATATGGTGGCGCTTAACTTTTGTGCATGTGTATATATATTTTAACAGGGAGTCTAATACGTATATTCCCTCAGTTAAGTAAGTTGTTTATATCTATTTAAGTATTGGGAGTGCGGCCAATACAAATTATAACAGCAGGCGGGGTATCATTACCATGGTCAGCAGAGTCATGTGCGGGTCAGCGGCTTTGTAATAAACGCTTGAGAATGGCTGGTTGGCCACTGAAGCTTAATTTTGTGGATGAGGTGCGGGGTACTGCAGGCTGACCATATATGTAACGTAACACGATACATGGCAGTCTGACAGTGAGGGTTAAAGATAGTACGCTTTCTGTTAGTCGCGACTTGACCCTCGGACAGCGGCTTGGCAGGTTGGCTCTCTGACGTGAGATGCTGCCTGGCCATGTCTGTCTCGTTATCATAAACATGATTGTATAGATGCTGTAGGATTTATTATATCATAAATAAAGTGTTGTGGACCCATGGATGGACTCCTGTGTTTGAAGAAGGACAGATATCCCAAACAACCAGGCCGGGGTAACAGTTCCTCAAGCAGACCGCCATCACGACCATCTCTTGGCCCGCAATGAGTCCAGGTCTCGGGCCTCTGGAACATCCTCAATTGAGGGGGCACGGTAGGGAAGCTGGACCTAGAAGTAGCCAGTCTACAGGAGCTTCCGGCACTGAGAACGGCCAAACTTACTCCAGGAACGCTCCGGGAACCCCACTGGGGGCACGAGGAGAGGACTGAGGCGGTCACAAGGGTCTATTTTAGCAACACCGTACCAACAACTATAAGCTCGACCAATAGGATAAATACCACTTTCTAGAATTTCATGACTGTTGTCCTTATTTTTCGATAAGAACTACTCTTTCAGGAAATAGCACGTTCTGGTTTCTTACCATAGATTTGCGGCCAGCTCCAAGGTTTTCAAACATCATGGCCAAAGTAGTAGGGGGCGCATAGCTCTTTTCGGGGTGTAAATTTCATGTTTTACTTTATAGTAATGTAAAATATGGACTTCTTACACTTTAAAATATCATCGGTCAATGAAGAAAGAATTGAGCGTTGTGGTTGTGTTTGTGGTGGTAGTGGTAGTGGTGGTGGTGGTAGTGGTAGTGGTAGTGGTAGTGGTAGTGGTGGTGGTGGTGGTAGTGGTGGTAGTGGTGGTGGTGGTGGTGGTGGTAGTGGTAGTGGTGGTGGTAGTGGTAGTGGTAGTGGTGGTAGTGGTAGTGGTAGTGGTAGTGGTAGAGGTAGTGGTAGTGGTGGTGGTGGTGGTAGTGGTAGTGGTGGTGGTAGGAGTAGTGGTAGTGGTAGTGGTGGTGGTAGTGGTGGTGGTGGTGGTAGGGGTAGTGGTAGGGGTAGTGGTAGTGGTGGTGGAAGGGGTAGTGGTAGTGGTAGTGGTAGTGGTGGTAGTAATAGTAATAGTAAGTAGTAATGACAGACACACTTTGAAGTACCGACTTTACTGACAGCTTCTAATATTCGCGTGAAAACTGAAGTCATGTTGTGGTCAGAATGGCGTTCTGTTTTGGAAATTTTAATTCATAGGGAAAGGTCATGAATTAAATAAACTCATAAACACGTGTATGGAGTGAGTGGGTGAGTTTAAGTCGCTTTCAGCATTATTTAAACCACATATGTGAAATCGAACCTAGTCGGTCGTACGCTTTATCTACCAGACTTAAACCGCGGCATTGAGTGAGTGGGATTTTGCACCGCTTTGAAAACAGTTGAACAATTCAAATGTTTATTGTATAAAAGGCCATGGGCCCAAATACACGAAGTGTAACAATACAGTACAGGCTAATTTTACACGTAGAATCATAAGTTTCATTTCTGGTCACTTCTGGTCTTGAAGGCAGATTTGAAACATAACAGATTTTACGTTGTTGGACTGACGATTGAATTACATATTTATTTGGTATGTGGTGCTTTCGAATGTGTTTAAAGATTAAGACATATAAATGTGAAATGATACAGATCTTAGAAATTGTTTAGAGTCGTGTCTCCATGTATCAATATAAAGCCTTGTAGCAAATGTACACAAGGTCGAATCTGTTAAATATTTCTCTGCTTCTGGGCGTATATTAAAAGTGTATAACATTCATATCTAGCACCAGATAATAATATATTGGTCCATTCTTGCCTGTACATATCATTCAATCTGGTTGAAAAAGGTTAAGAAAACTAACTATATATTCAACATCTTGGTAAACCCCAGACATCGCCAAGACCTGAACCAAACAGAATAAGTCTCACATTACTTGCCCAGTTCTGTCGACCTACTGAATCAAGATTAAATAACATTTCGTCTGCCTTACGCGGAAGTCTGGTGATGGCATTGAAGTAGTTTTACCCAGTATTTAATGCATTTCACCGAACTGTTGTTTATAAGCAGTGGGAACCGTCCACATTCCCCTGAAGCCATTTCACTGGGAGTGTTAATTCCTGTACCAAGATAATATTTACATGCTAGATATTGGACCCTTTCTACTACCTCTAATTTAGTCCCCATATTTTGCATCCATAAATCAAATATTTTGATTCCGAGTGGGATTTTACATATGTCCAAACCAATTTTAAAACATTTCTTAGTTACCTTACCCAGTAAATGACAAATGTGACACTGCTCTTGTTAAATTTAAGATGGAGTCATACATATATTGTGAGGCAACTTCTACAATTTCATTACGATAATACAATTTCTTACATTGTTTAACAATCCCAACTTTAGGAAAATCAATTACAGTCAAACACCGTTGTGTCGAACTTTGATGTTTCGAACTTACGAAGCAAAAGCATGGTCCCTGCACATTCTTTCTTTATTCATCATTTTCAGTTGTGTCGAACCCCGAATAACTTGAAGGATTTACGTAGGTCCCATCAACTTCGACACAAAGGTGTTTGACTGTATTTTAGTTTTCGACAGGTTAACATTTAACTTCCTAGCTGAACAAAAATTATCTAGGATATTCAGTTGCTCTTGTAGCTCACTCTATCAGAAATAAAAATAAAATCATCCGCAAACATTAATAGAAACAGTTCATGTAAGAAGGGGAATAATTGTACTCCTTGTCGACATGTATCAAGAATTTCAGCGGCCAACTCATTAATAAAAAGTGAAAATAAAATCGGGCTTAATACACAGCCCTGTCTTAGTCTAAAAAGATAGGCGAAGCATTCAGTAACAGCATCATAAACATACAGTGTAGGAAAAGACTCATATTTGTTCAATGCTGAACTTAAAACAAATCTTTAAAATACTCGAACTAAATATCTGCACTAATATATTTTTCGGACAACAACAACTCATATTATATCACGGCGTGTCAGCTTGATGTGGGAGAAGGCCCGCAGTGATGCAGACACAAGGGCTGGTAACGCAAACATTAGCACCTACATGATGTACGGTCACAACAGAGGCAGTTCTATACAACCATCCTCAGGTTGTGACCGTATATCTTGTTGGTGCTACTATTTGCGTTACAACGCCCTGTGGAATCATGTCTTTGACGTTTACCACTTTGTTGAAACCACCGAGCACAGGAATGCTGCTGACAAACCAAGAAATATTATCAGGGAATATATGGGGTTCGAACCCACAACCAAAATGTTTCTGGAACGGCACAGCGAATCGCGGCGCCTTAGACTGCTGGGTTTCCCATGCTTCCCAGGGTAATGCAATCGTTACCCATGACGGCGACTGCAGCCACCAGCAGGGCAGGGAAACATACAACAAACAATGCCATATCCAAACATTTGCTTACCCGTTTCCAGGTCATTACATCCTCGCCATGGCAACATCTGCCATCATTACCGACATGACTAGACAATGATATAGAACTCGTCTGAACAACTTTGTCAATACTGTCATGGCTGTCCTGTGGTTCAGAACGGCTGACCGAGTCTGATGATTGGCATTCATTTTTCTTTCTACGACAAAGAATTCGTTCAATTAGTCTTGTCACATGCGCGACATTAACAGGAACTTCTGTTTCGGTTTTCTTGTACAGCCTCGTTATGACAATTGCTAACCCGACGAAGACGGAACTGACAACAAGGCTGGCGACCATGATGATGGATAGACTGGATGTGGTCTTGGACGTCTTTGGGAGCATGTTGGTGATGTACGACATCAGGACGCCATACGCGAGGAGGATGGTGACAGCAAAGCAGATTTTCTCCCCGGAGTCAGCGGGGATGAGGAAGACGCAAGAGTTGAGGATGGACAGAAGGGCTGAAAGGGAAGAGATGATTTATATAACATCGATACAATCTCGAAACGTGATACTGTTGTCTGTGTGGATATCGAATTCAAATACGTATGTTGATAGGTAAAACACTGAGCACAATATTCATGTACCTTACCAATAGGTATAGTGATGTTGATAGGGAAAACACTGAGCACAATATTCATGTACCTTACCAATAGGTATAGTGATGTTGATAGGGAAAACACTGAGCACAATATTCATGTACCTTACTAATAGGTATAGTGATGTTGATAGGGAAAACATTGAGCACAATATTCATGTACCTTACCAATAGGTATAGTGATGTTGATAGGGAAAACATTGAGCACAATATTCATGTACCTTACCAATACTTATCGTGATATTAAAAAAATGTAGGTACAGTTGTCTAATGCGCTGAATTTCGCTGTGCACAGTAGCGTCAGAAACGCCAGAAACATATGATTATGGGTTCGACCGGCATCACTTCGGGCTTTCCTCCCACACTAAGCTGACACGCCGTGATATGATATACCTGGAATACTGTTCAAAGCGACGTTAAACCAAACTCAATCACTCACTCAGCAAGTAACATACCTGTCGGTAAGATGATATTGATGAGAACAAACTCAGGACGTCTTTTCAACTTCAGCGTCATCACAACGGCGGGCTTGCTTGACGTGTCAGGTTGTCGGATCTCCTTGGACACGTCTGTCGAGACTAACGCCCACTTCCCGTTGGCCCGGAAACTGCTCACCCCAACAGAGGACGCCATAGGGAGGAGATCCACAGCCTCCAGATGGTAGTCCCACAGTAGAAGCTCCACCAGACACTCCTGGACGTCAAAGGGAAATGAGCTTGTATCTACTTCACAATACACGTCAAAATTGGCCCCTGGTTTCCACGTAACGGTTCCGTTTGAAAGCACATGTACAAGATTCGTACTATCTGTGACTGGGTTGAATGTTGACATCGTATTGGCGACGGCGATATTTGGCCGCCATACTTGGTGAGCAGGCGGGTGGATGGACACACTACCGCCATATTGTATCGGGTCCCACACCAGGAACGGGTCGTGCCAGACCAGGTCCAGCCATGCTGTGAAGGACAGATTTTCAGACACCTCGTCAAAGTTGGTGATCGCGACGAGGTGGAGTTGCAAGGTGACGTTCATCTGGTCAGTCTGGTTGAGAACCGGCCGGATGTAGGGGTTGTACGACCAGATCTTGTCGTCAAACAGTCGTTTCAGGTCGTCTGCTTCTTGAGCAGACGACATCCACCACAGAAGCAATGAGAGCAGATAACTCACCAGCGTTTTCATCTTCATTTTGAAACTCTTGAGTGGTGACGATCAAGTCAATTTAGAGTTGTTAAAAGCAACAGGTACCCGTATGTTCATCATAGGGCAGGACGTCGACTTCGTCACCACAATCTGGCCCCAGATAGTATGTTGAGCACTCTGTGTGAAGTAGAATCGTAGGAAATAGAGTTCAAGTTACTGCCAGGTTGAACTTTATTAAATAAAGCTTCTAATAACCACTGCAAGTTTGTTGTTTTGACACTTATTTACAGTGAGTGAGTGAGTTGGGTTTAACGCCGCTTTTAACAGTATTCCAGTTATAGCACGGCGTGTTAGCTTAATGTGGGAGGAAAGCCCGAAGTGATGCAGGTCTCAGATGTTCACCACTTCGGTGAAACCCACGAGCACGGGTATGGTGCTGACAAACCTAGAAACATAATCGGGACGAACCGGGATTCGAACCAACAATCATAGGTTTCTGGCGTGTCCAAGTAGAGTGCAAATCGGGAGGTCAGGCTGTGGTGATTGTATGACAACGATGCATCATATTAATTGCAAATCCAGATGCCACGGTTCACAAGATTATTGACCAATCAGATAACCTTGTCATCCAGGTGTCGCTGACGAGGCGATAACCATCCTCCCCAGAACACTTGTAGACGACGTCATACGGGCTGTTGTGGTTTGTGTAAATATGGCTATTTGACAGTGATATTTAATCGAGTTTTGACCAGGCAATGACCACGGTCCATCGCGGTAACCTTCCATTTTGCAGACAGGTAGTTGTTAGACAGCTAATAACAACATGCCTGCTTGAGTGCACTGCAAAACTACTGCTTGTTACCCCCGACTAGTAATGGTATCATCCATGTACAAACAACAGTCCGAGATACCCAACCCACACCCACCAACGGGGATGCCTTGTCAGCACCAGTCCCGTGTTCATTTGTTTAAGACCCGTGGAGATCCGGGTCAGAAATAGGTCTTCAGAAACCCATGCTTGTCGCAAGAGGCGAATATGCTTGTCGGAAAAAGCGACTAACGGGATGGGGTATAGGGTCGCTGACTTGGTTGATGCATGTCATCGTATCCCAATTGCGTGGATCGATGCTGATGATGTCAATCGCTGGATTGTCTGGTCCAGACTCGATTATTTACAGACCGCCGTCATATAGCTGGAATAATGCTGAGTGCGGCGTTAAACAACAAACAAACAAACAAATAATTTGTTTAACACTGAAAAAGTGGTACGCGTCCTGACCAGCGTTACTCCCCATCAAGCTGACACCTGTGATACAACTAAAATACTGTTGAGAGCGGCCTTGCGCTTAACTTCAAGACTTCAAAGAGGATTCCTGGTTAAAACTGGTCTCCAGAAACCTGTACTGGTCGTTTGAGAAGACCAAATGGATCAGGTGGTCAGATTCTGTGGCTTGGTTGGTTGTGTGTCCTCTAACCATGGACCGCCTCCGTGGTCTAGTGGTGGAGCGTCCGCCTGGAGAACGGAAGGTCCGGGGTTCGATCCCCGGCCGCGTCATACCAAAAGACATTAAAAGATGGTTGTTGTTACCTTGTCTGGCGCTCGGCCTGTCGGCTCGGAGTCAGTATACTGTGTCTGAGTGGGGTATTCATGTTAAACTGCGGCATGGTATCTCAGTGTGCTAGCACTATAAATCGGCATCACTCCGGACTAGTTCAAGCAGCCACACACACACGTGCATGCGCGTCGCTATATAAGTGCCATAATCACGTCCGTTAGAGCAAAACAATACAGAATGCATATTGCTGTTTAAGTCTTTCCGTAAATATACAGAAGCACTTACCGTGAAACGTCTATATTATGTCCTGTTGTTCACTCTGTCGCCATATCACGACACACAAATTTAGGCTGTTCAATATTCGTAGTCATTGACCGCTGCAATAAATAACCATTTCAACTGACCGTAAGTTGCATGCCCAGTGAACTACTGACCCACGTGACCACATCCCGATAACGAGGCTATCGGTGTTCGAGTTATTACTATGCTACACCACTCCACGCATCAGCAGCTGGACAGCTGGGTGATCGGTCGTTTGTACTGTTATCGCTTGACATTCATCACTTATTCATCAGATAACTTCAGTGATCTGGCAGAAGGATCAGAGCCCTGCGTGTACTGTTTCCATTGTGAGATGTCATTGCAGGTACTGGCTGTTACCCGTGTGTAACGAGATTAATGAGGGCTTAACGGGAGGCTATGCCCAGACAAATTGGCAGCCCCAGCAAGTTTCATTCAAATTGTTCAACAACCACTTACTTTGCCTGGTAACTCTAATGTCATGATCATTCAAACTGGTAATGATGACGCTTATCAAATAGGGGCGATGTGTGAGTAAAAAATGGTGTCTGGACAAGACAATCGAGTGATTGACATCATGAGCATTTATCTATGTAGGGATATGATGAAATCAACCAAGTCAGCGAGCCTGACCACCCGATCCCGATCTTGTGCACGTGTCATGCATGGGTTGCTGAAAAACAATTCTAACCCGGGTCTTCAATGAGTCGCAGTCTCAGTCTTATTCGCACACACAGTACTTATCACAATGACGGGACAGACATGGAGGACAATGTGTTACGCACTTTTGATAATCTAGCCTTATAATTGACGAATTAACGCACTAACCAAATGGTTGCTATTTTAAAAGCAGAGTCGAGTGTACGATTCCGACTATATCATGAGCATGTGTTTATGAATCACTATGATACAGTGATGGTGCCAGGTGTTTGCGAAAAGGTGAGCCCATCATGCCCCAGCGGTGGCACCGTCACAAACACATGCAAAGGCAAGTCAATTGTTCAACTGAAAAAACATGGGAACATATGGAGCATGTCTAAACAGGGAATTGCATCGGACTTCATCTTTGTCAGTGATGAGCCAAATTTGGAAAAGCCCTGTAAAAGGCAGTGTAAAGTGTACTCACTCACTATTTATTGCTGAACCCATAATCAGATGGATCTACTGAATAATTAACGTTCATTAAGTAATGGAACACCAGCAGAGAGTGGACACAGGTGAGGTGAAGTGGGGTTTAACGTCGGGTTCAAGATTATTGCACTTATATTGCGACATGCATATGTGGCTGCTTCTACTGGTCCTTACTAATGCCGGTTTTATTGTTCTAGCCAACGAGATACGATGCTGCAGTTTAACATGGATGCCCATACTTACAGTATTCTGACTTCAAGCTGACCCGTCCTTGTTTTCCCCCTTAATGCCGAGCACCAGACAGGGTAGCAAAAAGTGATCTTTGAACGTCTTTTGGTATGACATGACCAAGTATCGAACCAACTACCTCCCGGAGGCGGGCCGGTGGAAAGGGGCGGGTCATCACGAGCCGTTCAGCGGCTACTGGACAACCATAAACCTCCTACCACCACTCAGCTCAATGGGAGGAATAAATACTGATTTTGGCGTTCACGTGACAATCACATGGCAACACAAACTGCAGTCATGAACTTATTGAGAACCAGAACGTACAAAGTGTTTAACATATTTCTTCTTTTCTATAAATAATAAATACGTACCAGTTTTCGGTGCGCATATGACTCGTTCTCAGAAACTACCACAATATACCGACTGTATTCTGCGAATCAACAAACCAACCAACCAATCATACCAAAAGACGTTAAAAGATGGTACTTGTTAGCCTGTCTGGCGCCCGGCATTAAGCGGAAAAATAAGGACTGGTCAGTTCAGAGTCAGTATACTTTGAGTGGGGTTTTCATTTTAAGTGGGGGCGGTCGGGTAGCCTAGCGGTTAAAGCGTTTGCTCGTCACGCCGAAGACCTGGGTTCGATTTCCGACATGGGTACGATGTGTGAAGACCATTTCTGGTGACCCCCGCCGTGATATTGCTGGAATATTGCTAAAAGAGGCGTAAAACCATACGCATCACTCTTTTTAAATACGATGACAGAATCAACACTGAGCCTGACCTCGCGATCTCAAAATAGCACTAGAGTGCTGGGACCAATTCCAACGCCGACCCCCAGGGGCTCATCAATGACAACTCAACACAAGATCCAGAGTGTTAAACAGAGGACTTTATAACAGATAATAAACATCTACAATATAACAAATCAGATCCTGACTGTGCTAAATACTGACATGAGAGAAATTGCACTTAGTCATACAAAAGCCTGATACAGATGTCTCACAAGACAAGAGGACTCGATGAATCCACTCAGGCATGTTGCCATGGAAACACAACCCTGTTTAAGGCAGGAAAATAACAACACAAATGAATATCACAAGATTGTGCAAACAATTATTTTCATACATATCAATAGTCGTATCTATCAATACACTCACCTTGTCACCACAATAACATTTCTGTCCTGGAATATTTTAGACTAAGAAGAAAAATTAAAGATTTACTTTGACATTTTTAATTACAAAGATCTTACCCTGGAATCTGTAATACTTAAAATGTTTAATAATGAATAACAAAAGTATATTTTTTGTCAAAATCTTAACAAATGCAAATCGTAAATATTTATCAATAAACTTGTTGTCTTGTGACCAAACTCCCATTGTTTACCTTACATAAAGTTGTGGTTGTAAGCCTACATACTTGTATCTCAACATCATATTTGAACTGTCCTCAGTAACATACATGAACACCGACACTGACGTCGCACCCCGACACTATATACAACTACTGCCTTCCTGAAGCACACACAATGGTCCATCTTGAACATACGGAAATAATTATAGGACACCAATATTCCTCATGCACATATTTAGGACTTAGCGCAGAAAAATAAGACCACTTTTCAATATTACAACAGTATTTACACAAATATGCTAAAAATACCCTAAAAAGATCTATTTCAAAGTTGTGATTTATTCATGTCTATAGAAGCTTAAGATTTGTGTAAAAACACAGAAATATTGTAACTTAAATTACAGATTTCTGTAAGTGACCATTTTATACAAATCTTAAAACAAATTGACTTCAGTTTCATAAATATCCATTTGTTTAAGGATCTTTCCAATAATTCCAAAGTCATGTTCCCACCTGTTACAGTGCGACATCCAAAATATTCCCCTGGAGAAGATGAGGCACAGATCATGATCAATGAAATTACATGCTATGACTAACGCAGAGTGGTATGTTGAGGTATGTCATGTCACGGACATCTCCCCACCTGGGAGAACAATCCAGGTGCCACACAGTAGAGTAAGTAAATGCAGGTTTGTAGTCGAGTAGCATCAGACAGCCAAATGGGACTCACAATTACGTCAACAATGATAAGAAGTAAATCTAACATTGTGGAAGTATATAAACACATACCTAAACAGGTCAGGATGGGTTCTTCCAAATTGTGAAGTTTCAAAAGTAATTAATTCAATTTTGCTTCTTTATTCCAGTGATGCTTTCATTTTTCCATAATGTATTGCCAAAAGACACAAGTTAGTGTACCTGTCACTTATCTGTGTAGATAATACTTTCCTTAAGACTGATAGATAAGTTCTTTTCTCTGCAGGACATTTTTACTAATCTCTTAGATAATATATTCCTTATGGTTTAAACATAGCACTTTCATGTGTTGTCTGAAAATGATCATTGGTAGGTAGATACTACTTTCCCTAAGACATATACCAAGAGTGTTTTATGTGATGGTGTGTTCTGGGTAAATGTGAATGCTCCTTTGTTGATACTGCCTTCTTTGAGACTAAACATGTGACTTGTGACACTGTCAACCGAGACTTGAGGCAATAGAATGTTCCTTGTGCCACTGTTATCTGTGACAATCATCTGTAGACTACTTCCCCCAAGACTATTTGTCTGGTTTGAGATTCAATATTCAAAAAGTAAACAAAGACTTTTCCTGTTGGCTTCATATTACAGTGAAAATGACAAATATTCCAAATAATCTGTATGAAAATCACGCATCTGAAATATCACACCAACCAACACAATTAAGCTTTTACATGAATCATATTTGACTTCAGTTATAAGAATTCAATACAATCAACCACTCAAGATTAGGAAATATTTTGATAGTCTCACACTTGTTTTCGAACAACAATAAAAAACAAAAAACAATACCATTTCCCTATAGTAATCATTACTGGATATTGTGTAGGTGACACCATGTATCTTATCACTCCTGCCTACACCGTGCAAACACCATTCTTCTACTTATTATTCCAGCTATCTTAAAAATTAAATATCACCATGAGATGTTAAAGAAGTACATATTCAAGTGACAAAAACAAATTCATCACCATAAACCTGACAGCAGTAAAATGCTGTCAGTAATACAATGTCTAAAATTTAAAAATGTAATTACTGAAACATTGGCACAATAAACCTGTGAAAACAACAAACATTCATGTACAAGACTTGATTATATCTTACTTCAATGTGGATGTTTATAAATTGTAAACATTCAATAATGAAATATAACATTAATATATGAAAAAAATATTTTTCATTTTATTTAAAATAATATGTGTGGCCTTGTTTAATACTTATCAGTAATTGTGGCTCTCTTTGAAGATATCCAATAATAATGTTTTTTTTAATTGCTAAGTATAAACATGGCTGTTAGATTCTGGTACTGGCTGATTTGGAGACCGTATCCCTGGAACCCTCTCTCACCTTCAAGTCAACAAGGACAGGACCTGTCTCACTGCATGGTGTTCAGGCTGTTGTAAGGACTACTGGTTGCTTGGTGGGAAGAGAATAGACAAAGAAATCCTTTGACTTTTTGTGCTCTTTAAAACATTATAAACTGTGTGCCGAGTTAACTGAGCCAGTCTCATCTGACGTTCTTTTATGTAGTTGATGCACATTTTTGTAAACTCGTAACTCTGCATTCTCAATAAAAATAATAGTAGCGCTATTCAGATCTAAATAATATTCCATTTTTCATTTTTTTTAGAGTTGGAAGTTCTGTAAACCAATTCATAAAAAAAGTACTGCCTTACATACAACAAGTCATCCAAATATAACTGACAGTGAGAGTTAGCGAAAAGTACGAAATCAGGATTTCAAGGAATGTCTCTCATTTGTATCAGACCAGTTACCAATCATCCTTTCTCCATGTCATACCTATTTCATTATACAGCTCTGGTCCGATAATTGTAGATATTCAAGATTCTCCCCTAAACAAGCCAAGACTGACATCAACACTACAACAAATTCACAGAGACATTAGAACCACTAAGAAAACAAATTTGATTGCAGAAAGGATATTGATTTAACTCACAAATACTTGAAAGATCTACATAAATGTTAGTTGCTGCGTATGTTAACACAATGTACGATAACATTACTACATATTGAGCTGGGAAAAACATCTCAAATATCGCACTTAAAAGATGTATTGTGAACATTTCAAAATAACATGACATTTATTTTGAGACAGATAAATACCACAATAATATATGCAAATTATCAATATTAGCACTGAACTTCAGGTAATATTAGATCTACAAGATGAAAATATTGTCCATTTTTCGCTCAATAAGTTCAAACAGAATATATAATTCTTCAGATCTATGTTGAAAACATGAACCCTGATTGGACCCCAGTGTCTACAAAGTCTGTGCCATTATCATTATTATTATAATTATTATTGAAAAATATGGACTTTGTCCCAAATCAAGTTCACTCATCCCGACCAATGGTTAAAGTAGCAGACTTTGGTATACGTTGCAGGAACTTATCTAGAATTCCAAACTGGGTGCCCTTGGCAGACAAATTGGTAAAAAATTGTTATGATGTTCAAAACTGGGATTGTCTTAAGCTCCTCTTTTCTTCATTTCAGATGTACTTAACATTGTTATTTAACACTGCATTTGATGCAATAATGTTAAGCTATGTTATAAAAAACTCTTCCTCATTATTGGCCTGTAAGTCACCTGAACAAAGCCTTCACTATAGTTACAACTATCTTAACAGGAAATGTCAAATTTCAAAATCCCATTTGAATTTTAACTGACACTTTCTACACACTTGGGTCCAAATACTGGCCTCTGGGCAGACCTAGATAAATCCTTGCAATAGATAATTCTAAATATGGTCAGTTTGTTGTCAATGCAGACAAAGACAATGTCCTGCTGCTGAAAACAGGATGAGTGACATCAGTGTGATGAGCACCCCCTGCATCAGAACACACGACATGCTTGATCTGCACAGCATCCAGACTTAACAACAGTGTCTAGGGTTCAGTCGGCCGTCACTGTTACGACCCTACCACTTGGCATTAACAGAAAACACATGACTTCACACTTTCCGTAAAAGATGCAAGTTGATGACGGCCGTTTCATATCGTTTTGAAACATTTATGCACTTGAAAATTGTTACATGTTAACTATGTAACTTTCATTAACTTCAATGAACTATTACAGAGATCAATGGCAAGAGAAAGTATAAAAAAAAAATATCCCAAAATGGTCACTTTTTCCGGACATTTAATAAATATTACAATTCTTAAATGCTTGATGATAAATGATAAACAATATGTGTAACCGTACAGCGAATCAAAATATCATATTGAACATGATATTGTAATTTCCAGGAGAGGTAACTGCTGCGAAGATGGTCTAATTCTTGATGACTAAGGGAGACAATCCTGTGTCCTCCACTCCAAGCGAGAGATGGTCATCAAGTGTGCATCTAGCCTTGGCTACTGTGAAAGCGCTGTAAGTTCATGAAGGCCATGTTGTCATGGTAACGGAATGCCATCTAATATTCATCTGGCTGAAAATACAATGTCACAAAATAAGCAAAATGAAGTGAGTTTTAATGAATGAACAACGGAATGATTGATTGAATGAACAATGGAATCATTGATTGATTGAACAACAGAATGATTGAATGAATGAACAGAATGATTGAATGAATGAACAATGGAAAGATTGAATGAAGGATTGTTACAAGGAACTGTTGTGAAAGGATTTACACTGAACGCAGATATCTTTCAACAATATGGAAAAACCCATTTTCTTCAACCTCTGTCAGAAAATATCTAAAAGAACTTGATAAATTGTTTAAGAAGATGAAGTTTAAGATCAACTCCTGGTGGAAACTTCTGACAACATTGTCTTATATCCACACACTATGAGTCTCCTACAGTGGAAAACGCTCTACATTTGATGGTCCTGGAGAGTCAAGGTTTCACAGTATCATCCTCCGTGATCTCCAGAGCTCGCATTTCAGCATACCTACACTAACACCTGGATCCATTCCAGTGGGTCTTGCCAACTCAAATTACCCGCCCTTGATTTTATGAGCCAATTTCATTCGCTAGGCTACTCAGTCTAAAGGACCAATTGACAAACCAGCTTCCATGTTGGTTTGGCAATATCAACAACATGGCGGCCAGTTCCATTGATTGTGGTAGAGTTTGTGAGAAATTCAACATTGAAAAGCTGACTGACACCCAAAAGAAAGCCCTCAAAAATCTTTTTGATGGAAAGGATGTCTTCATGACCATTTATACTGGTGGTAGCAAGCCCCTTTGCCTCCAACCATTCCCTGTCTTATACCCAACTCCTTTTTCCTTATCTTGACGTACTTGACGTACTTGATTGATTGGTAAAATGTTAATGAAAATCAAGGGCAGGTAATTTGAGATTGCGAGAAGCAGGGGAATGGATTCACGGGTTAGTGTAGGTTTACCAAAATGCTAGCCATGGAGATATAGAGGATGACAGTATACTAAAACAGTACCAAACTCGCATGCATTTATCTAACATCAGATGTGCAATTCTTGTAAATCAATGGGCCATCAATTTTCCATGTTTGACTGGAAAAAAGATGCTGGGATGACAATATGTTTATAAAAACAATTACTTAGAAACACAACACACTGTCTGACAGCAGCTAGAGCTAACACTCAGTGACACACTGCCAGTCATGCAACGCTTCACATACAACATGTCACGCTGTCCTGTACACCACGCTCCCTGTCAAGACAGGACCTTCTATTTCACAACAACACAGGCCTTGGCAACACATTCTTGGACTTGACCACCGGTTTTATAGGTAAGGGGTCAGTGACTAGTAAGTACTCACTAATAGATCTGAAGCTCTACCGACCCGTGAAGATCCGCATTGGAATAGGTCTTCAGCAACCCACGCTTGCCGTAAAGGCAACTATGCTTGTCGTAAGAGGCAACTGACGGGATCGGGTGGTCAGACTCGCTGACTTGGTTGATGATGCATGTCATCTAACTCAATTGAATGGATCAATGCTCATGGTAGGACAAGATTACCCGTATTGAAGCATATATCCCATCATAGTAAGACAAGATTACCCGTATTGAAGCACATACCCCCATCATGGTAAGACAAGAATACCCACATTGAAGCACATACCCAATCATAGTAAGACAAGATTACCGTATTGAAGCACATACCCAATCATAGTAAGACAAGATTACCGTATTGAAGCACATACCCAATCATGGTCAGACAAGATTATCTGTATTGAAGCACAAACCCCATCAAAATAAGACAAGATTACCCGTATTGAAGCACATACCCAATCATAGTAAGACAAGATTACCGTATTGAAGCACATACCCCATCATGGTCAGACAAGATTATCTGTATTGAAGCACAATCCCCATCATAATAAGACAAAATTACCTGTATTGAAGCACATACCCCTTCATAGTAAGACAAGATTACCCGTATTGAAGCACACACCCCATCATAGTAAGACAAGATTATCCATATTGAAGCACATACCCAATCATGGTATGACAAGATTACCTGTATTGAAGCACCTACGCCATCATGGTACGACAAGATTAACCGTATTAAAGCACATACCCCATTATGGTATGACAAGATTACCTGTATTGAAGCACAATCCCTATCATGGTACGACAAGATTACCCGAATTAAAGCACACACCCCATCATGGTATGACAAGATTACCCGTAATGAAGCACAATCCCTATCATGGTACGACAAGATTACCCATATTGAAGCACATACCCCATCATGGTAAGACAAGATTACCCACATTAAAGCATATACCCCATCATAGTAAGACAAGATTACCCGTATTGAAGCACATACCCAATCATGGTATGACAAGATTACCAGTATTGAAGCACATACCCCATCATCGAAAGACAAGATTACCCGTATTGAAGCACAATCCCTATCGTGGTACGACAGGATTACCCATATTGAAGCACAATCCCCATCATCGTAAGATAAGATTACCCTTATTGAAGCACAATCCCTATCATGGTACGACAAGATTACCCGTATTGGAGCACATACCCCATCATGGTCTAGGACAAGATTACCCATATTGAAGCACAATCCCTATCATGGTACGACCAGATTACCTGTATTGAAGCACAATCCCTATCATGGTATGACAAGATTACCCGTATTGAAGCACATACCCCGTCATAGTAAGACAAGATTATCTGTATTGAAGCACAATCCTCATCATGGAAAGAGAAGATTATCTGTATTGAAGCACAATCCCCATCATGGTAAGACAAGATTACCCGTATCAAGCGACCATGCTCCTTGTTGGACAAGTGTTCCAGTTTTTCCCCACAGATTTTGAACGTTGCCAACAGAAACCTAGACTTATACGAATGTACACACAACACAATACACGCTCAACATCTACTGACTGACGTCCTAAAACATGGTGCCCTGGGTTAAAACTGTCAAAATACTTTGTTTATCTGCACAATCAGTTGAACAAATTCATAACTTGCCTATCTTATGGCATATCTTTGGCTGGTTAATATTTTTTGTAGTTACTGAAGACACTCAGGCAAATGAATTAATTACAGACTATGTAACAAGGCATTATAGATTATTTGTTTCAAGTAAATGAGCATGATTTTATGCCATTTTGAGCAATATTTCAGCAATGTCACGGCGGGGGACACCAGAAGTGGGCTTCACACATTGTAAACATGTCGGGAATCGAACCTGGGTCTTCAGCGTGATGAGCTAATCCAAGTGAATGAATCGTGTATGCCCCAAAATATCAGATATTAATCACCCTTCCGGACTTAGTTGATGCATGTCATCGCATCCCAAATGCATTGATCAATGCTCATGGTATCAATCACTGGATTGTCTGGTCCAGTCTTGATTATTTACAGACCACCTTCTTACAGCTGGAATATTGCTGAGTGCGGAGTTAAACAACAAGCAAACAACAAACTTTAAGAGTTGACTCTAATAAACAGACTAATCCCTTTGAAGACCTAACATGACAACAATGTATGGATGCAGACCACAAAGTATTTTGACAGTATCACATCCAGTCAACATAAACTATTAACAATCAAGGAGGTGGCATCTACCTACCAGATCCACTGAAGCCACACAACAACCTCTTGCATGCTCATACTTACACAGGGGTCCACTAGGCGGTCACAAGCTTGTACAAACTAGTGCACAACGTTCTGGTGTGTGCTGGCATGTATACTCATGGTCAAAAGTTAAACAACGGCTGTCTTCAACTATTGTCCTATTACTGAATGAATGGATGTAAAATGATGAATTCATGACAAGGTTGACTGAATCTGGGTCACAAAGGACAACAGTCTCGATTTGCATTTGTTATTTATTGTATAACACCTTTTTTAAAAAAGGTGTTTGGCATATTGATTAGTTTTAGAACAAAGCTCAAAGGTCACAAAAATATATTTTAAAATGCAAAAACACATAGTGTAGTCATCTCTACAAGTGTGATAAGTAGTATAGTTAAACAAAAAAATGATAGCAAAATACTGATTGTGTTGATTCTATAAGTAGAGTTACCTCCCTTTCATAACCCTCTATTATGGAGGGAGTTTGCTGGCACTGAAAATTGATGACTGCCTCAGTTGGCAGAAAAAAATATTTTTCCTCCGAAATCCTTCATCATAAAACTGCAGAAAGGGACTTTGAACCAAACTGCATATTCACTGCTAAAAAAACTAAAAATTAACTGTTGGACTGATACATATAAAATTAGAAATGTGGAGTTGGAGGTACTTGAATCAAATTTGCCAATCTGACGCTGAGACCATAATGCCCCTTTCATTCATGTCACATATTTGTTTTCTCGTAATGAAATTACAGAGCTGCTTAACTAGTGACCAGTAGTACTTGGATTCCACACATCAGTCACCACAAAATCATTTTCATAATTCTCATATGCCCATATGCATTGATAATCAAATATTAATACATATCAAAAGGATGTTATTATTTCAAATATCTCATCTAACACAGTTATAAAATAACACTTTATTGAACTGAGTCAATTTTAATTTCTTCAGAGTAATATGTTAAAAGTTATCATCTAGGTTGTCCAAATGGAAATCTCAAGGTTTTTGAGATTTTGAATAAATACACATAAAATATGGTTTAGTTTCAGAGTTCAATGATACATATCTGAATACTGTAATGGAGATGTCCCTTAGTGTGGTCCCTACTTCAAACAGACATAACTAGAATTCTCCAGCATAGAATACTGAATGTGATCATTCAATGCTATAAACTGGTTTTACTTTTAGGGTAATGAATATCGTGACATTAACAAACATTTCAGGAGTGGAAAAATAGAAATTAACAATCTTCATCTGTCAATTACATATTATTCAAAATATAATAAGAGTATTTTGGATCAACTTATAGGTACTGATGTGTTAGAAATATTTTCATGTAAGATCATACAAGTTTTATAACTTGTGTTTGATCACTTTTTCTTTTCTACAATACATGTATATGCTTCAAAATATTTTTCAGCTCCTGAAATTCTAAAACAGAACCAAACAAGCATACATACAAACAAAATTCCACTCACAATGATGGCTGTGCTACGTCATGCACAAAACTTAATCATGTATAAACCTCAGGGGTCAACTCGGCTGACAGAACATGCCAGCGGCGGAACTCTCGGTCCGGGTTCTTCAGTGTCTCGAACCAGTGCTTGAGCCTGTCTCCCTTCGTGTTGATGCCAAGCTGAACTCCGCCTGAAGGAAATTCATAACGAGTGAGTGAGTGTGCATGGGCGGATACAGCTTTTTGAAAAGGGGGGGGGGGGTGCACAATTAAGATCTATTTATTGTCTTTGGTGGTAATATATACAGAAATAAAGATTTTTTCGAAATAAAAAGGGAGGGTGCGCACCCCCTCTCTGTATCCGCCCATGGTGTGTTGGGTTTAACAGTATTCTAGTTATATGACAGTGCGTCAGCTTAATGAGGGAGTGATGCAGACATGCAGGTCTTAAGCGTTTACCACTTTGGAGAAACCCACGAGCACGGGTATGGTGATGATAAACTTGGAAACATAATCTGGGAGAACCGGGATTCAAATCCACAATCATATGTTTCTGGCGTGCTCAAGGGAGGCAACTGTGCACAGCCAATCACCCCAAAATTCATAATGAACAAAAAGAAAATTCATCATGTGATATCATGGTCATCAATATACGTGATAAATCATAAAATATGATCAACAATCCAATAAGTATGCTATTTGTAAATCTGAAAGTCCATTCAGTCTATTGCTATGTCTGAGAAGTGAGAATGTGAGGGCTTCTCTGTTAGTCTGTATTTCTCAAAACATATCAAAGAGCAGAATAACAACCAGTAACATACTCACAGACTTACTTCAAACCAGCTTAAGAACATTAAAACAGAATATCAGACAACGATACAAAATAAAAATCAGTGTACAGATCACCACAGTCCCTGGAAGTACAGGGAACTTATTGACCAGACTGAGAGAATTGATGTCTGACGTACCGATGAAGTCGTTAGCCTTGCCGATGTCCTTGTCCCATACAGTGATCTCGAGTGTCTTCTTGGCCACATCGTTGTGGCGGATCTCATACACAAACTCCTGCAACACACACACACACACAAGGCTGATTACAGAGAGGCTGGACTCCTACTTCAACAGATTACTTCAATGTTACACGAGTACTGGACAGGTGCTGCCATCACACTCGGCATACACAAACTCCTGCAACACACACACACAAGGCTGATTACAGAGAGGCTGGTCTCCTACTTCAACAGATTACTTCAATGTTACACGAGTACTGGACAGGTGCTGCCATCACACTCGGCATACACAAACTCCTGCAACACACACACACAAGGCTGATTACAGAGAGGCTGGACTCCTACTTCAACAGATTACTTCAATGTTACACGAGTACTGGACAGGTGCTGCCATCACACTCGGCATACACAAACTCCTGCAACACACACACACAAGGCTGATTACAGAGAGGCTGGTCTCCTACTTCAACAGATTACTTCACTGTTACACGAGTACTGGACAGGTGCTGCCATCACACTCAGCATACTCAAACTCCTGCAACACACACACACACACACAGGGCTGATTACAGAGTGGCTGGACTCCTATTTCAACAGATTACTTCACTGTTACACGAGTACTGGACAGGTGCTGCCATCACACTCGGCATACTCAAAGATGTTGTTCAGTCTGGTTTTGTACCTAAGCAGAGGGAGGCCTGGGTTCTTCCTTGAGGTTTGTTGCTATATAATACAAGGTCCTTACAGATAGGAAACTCTAAATTCAAGGCCATTTCCAAGCTTTAAAACAGTCATTTTCAAGGCTATTTGGTTGGGCCATCAATATTTGTATTAAGTCCAGCATATACTGAGTTGAGTCTGGACAAGACAAACCAGTGGTTTATATATTTATCAAGGGAGTTAACTGACTATAAAGTTTCCACCCTTACCAAACTAGGCTTGAATTATAAAGTTATATTTTGGCTGGACTAATGAGTCTATGCATAGTCCAATCAAAATCAAGTAAGAAAATTGACATTCAGTTCTAATCATGATTAGTGTTGACACCATGTAGCAGTTCATGATTTAATTCAGTATAAATTTTCAAGAAGGGATATTTATGAAGTTTTGAAATAACCTGACCTGATAATTACTCAAAACACAATGTTAAATCTGATGACACAAGTTGGTTGATAGCACAATCCTCTTGTTAGATGGGTGTCGTAAATTTCATTTAATAAACTATGCATTAAATCATGATCTGCTACATGGTGTCAACTTGCGATGTATCGATACTCGGAGAATCACGACACCCTTAATGAGACTACACAGCTCCTGCAGCTGTAGTGTGGTACAATACCTCGTTGAATTCTGGATTGAGCGTTCTTTTCTTTACAGCAGTCTTGAACTTGGATTTCTTGTCCTTGTCAGGCTTAAGGTAGCTGAAAGTAAGACATGTTTCTGTACAGGTCTGTGGAAGGTGGGCTACATTAATGAAAAAAGTCATTCCAACTTTGGTTATTGACATTCTCCTGCTCCTTAAAATTTGATATGGTCTCGCTGAATGAGTGACCATGGAGACAATAGCCATAAAGAGTCCACGGTAATAGTAACCATAGGAACAAAAACTGGTAACTATAGAAACTGAGATCTGGTAGGCACAGTAACCAAGGTACTAAAAACCTTTTTTTCTGAAATGAAAAAAGAGATTGTAGTAAAGCACAAAATTTAAAACATATGAAACAATTTGCCCTGAAACCAAAGTTACTTACACTTTGACATAGGGGTCGGAGTAGCCATTAGTGTCGCAGGCTGCCAGCTCCGCACAGCGGATGATGCGGACAACCAGAGCTTGTTTTGATGTAGAGTATCGCAGGGACATCAGTAGCTTGCCCCGTATAGCAATCAGATCATCATCTTTCTCCAGCTGCAAGGGAAACAACTGTGTCATGCCTAGACTAACATAGTCCCAGAAATATACTAATGTGTAAGGTTCAACATAAATAATTCAACAAAGGTTGGTTGGTTGGTTTGTTGTTTAACGCCGCACTCAGCAATATTCCAACTATATGATGGCGGTCTGTAAATAATAGAGTCTGGAACAGACAATCCAGTCATTAATATCATGAGCATCAATCCATGCATTTGGGATCGATGACATGCATCAACCAAGTCAGCTAGCCTGACCACCTGATCCCTTTAGTTGCCTCTTACGATAAGCATGGGTTGCTGAAGACCTATTCCACCCCGGCTCAACAAAGGAACCCTGACGTCTGTGATAAGCATGGGTTGCTGAAGACCTATTCCACCCCAGCTCAACAAAGGAACCCTGACGTCTGTGATAAGCATGGGTTGCTGAAGACCTATTCCACCCCAGCTCAACAAAGGAACCCTGACGTCTGTGATAAGCATGGGTTGCTGAAGACCTATTCCACCCCAGCTCAACAAAGGAACCCTGACGTCTGTGATAAGCATGGGTTGCTGAAGACCTATTCAACCCCAGCTCAACAAAGGAACCCTGACGTCTGTGATAAGCATGGGTTGCTGAAGACCTATTCCACCCCAGCTCAACAAAGGAACCCTGACGTCTGTGATATTAGAGCCTCCAAGAGGCTGAGACTAGAATGGGGTGAATGTTTCATTTTGATATTTATAAGCTCTGGGGTCTGAAATTGTTAAACTGTTGTAAATATAGTTCTGTAGGTTTACAGATATTGGTAGTATTTTCCTAATCTTGTCCAAATCTCTAGGTTAGGGACGTTTGCTAGTTGTACATAGATACAAAGTTATGGACAAACTGTGAGAAGCTTGTAACATATCTTTTCAAACAAGGTGAATTTGGGTTATATAAATGCAGCAGCAAAGCACTGTAGCTCTCTTAAAGAAATAACGTTGGTCATGTTAAAATTGGTTTGGAATTCTGTAAGCACTGCCTAGAGGCATCATAGCTGGGATCAGGCATGCAAAGTCAGCTGTTTCTGCCTAGTCAGCAGTGATTATCTGTTTCTGCCTAGTCAGCAGTGTGTATCTGTTTCTGCCTAGTCAGCACGGTGTATCTGTTTCTGCCTAGTCAGCACGGTGTATCTGTTTCTGCCTAGTCAGCACTGTGTATCTGTTTCTGCCTAGTCAGCACTGTGTATCTGTTTCTGCCTAGTCAGCACTGTGTATCTGTTTCTGCCTAGTCAGCACGGTGTATCTGTTTCTGCCTAGTCAGCAGTGTGTATCTGTTTCTGCCTAGTCAGCACGGTGTATCTGTTTCTGCCTAGTCAGCACGGTGTATCTGTTTCTGCCTAGTCAGCACTGTGTATCTGTTTCTGCCTAGTCAGCACTGTGTATCTGTTTCTGCCTAGTCAGCACTGTGTATCTGTTTCTGCCTAGTCAGCAGTGTGTATCTGTTTCTGCCTAGTCAGCAGTGTGTATCTGTTTCTGCCTAGTCAGCACTGTGTATCTGTTTCTGCCTAGTCACCACTGTGTATCTGTTTCTGCCTAGTCAGCAGTGTGTATCTGTTTCTGCCTAGTCAGCACTGTGTATCTGTTTCTGCCTAGTCAGCACTGTGTATCTGTTTCTGCCTAGTCAGCACTGTGTATCTGTTTCTGCCTAGTCAGCACGGTGTATCTGTTTCTGCCTAGTCAGCACTGTGTATCTGTTTCTGCCTAGTCAGCACTGTGTATCTGTTTCTGCCTAGTCAGCACTGTGTATCTGTTTCTGCCTAGTCACCACTGTGTATCTGTTTCTGCCTAGTCACCACTGTGTATCTGTTTCTGCCTAGTCAGCACTGTGTATCTGTTTCTGCCTAGTCAGCACTGTGTATCTGTTTCTGCCTAGTCAGCACTGTGTATCTGTTTCTGCCTAGTCAGCACTGTGTATCTGTTTCTGCCTAGTCAGCACGGTGTATCTGTTTCTGCCTAGTCAGCACTGTGTATCTGTTTCTGCCTAGTCAGCACGGTGTATCTGTTTCTGCCTAGTCAGCACTGTGTATCTGTTTCTGCCTAGTCAGCACTGTGTATCTGTTTCTGCCTAGTCAGCACTGTGTATCTGTTTCTGCCTAGTCAGCACTGTGTATCTGTTTCTGCCTAGTCAGCACGGTGTATCTGTTTCTGCCTAGTCAGCACTGTGTATCTGTTTCTGCCTAGTCAGCACGGTGTATCTGTTTCTGCCTAGTCAGCACTGTGTATCTGTTTCTGCCTAGTCAGCACTGTGTATCTGTTTCTGCCTAGTCAGCACTGTGTATCTGTTTCTGCCTAGTCAGCACTGTGTATCTGTTTCTGCCTAGTCAGCACTGTGTATCTGTTTCTGCCTAGTCAGCAGTGTGTATCTGTTTCTGCCTAGTCAGCACTGTGTATCTGTTTCTGCCTAGTCAGCACTGTGTATCTGTTTCTGCCTAGTCAGCACTGTGTATCTGTTTCTGCCTAGTCAGCACTGTGTATCTGTTTCTGCCTAGTCAGCATGGTGTATCTGTTTCTGCCCAGTCAGCACTGTGTATCTGTTTCTGCCTAGTCAGCACTGTGTATCTGTTTCTGCCTAGTCAGCACTGTGTATCTGTTTCTGCCTAGTCAGCACGGTGTATCTGTTTCTGCCTAGTCAGCACTGTGTATCTGTTTCTGCCTAGTCAGCACTGTGTATCTGTTTCTGCCTAGTCAGCACTGTGTATCTGTTTCTGCCTAGTCAGCACGGTGTATCTGTTTCTGCCTAGTCAGCACGGTGTATCTGTTTCTGCCTAGTAAGCACGGTGTATCTGTTTCTGCCTACTCAGCACGGTGTATCTGTTTCTGCCTACTCAGCACGGTGTATAGATCTGTGTGCATGGCTACAAGATGCTGGGAGTCTACAGTACCGGCAGCTGTTTCTCCAGGTAGATGTTGCACTGCCTCGTCTGATGTGGCTTGATCCTTTTCAGTGGGACTCTAGTCTCTCCGATGAAGTCAAACCCAAATGCATCCTCATCTAGCACAGACAATCTGAAATGAACAAAAATCATTCTTATCCAAACCAAACTCTTCTTTTCAAACAAATGTTTTTTAAAAATAACTGTGAGGTTTATTTAGCATACACTGGTCATTAGGACCAGTGGCACAAGAACATATTGACATAACTAAATTTTGCTGGTCAGTTTCAGATTACAACATTTTCGTTTATGACCTTTTAAAAATGTATGGTGTTGACATTGTTGTATGCTTTTAGAAGGTTGCCATGCTCTCGAGTCACGTTGCCCAGACGGATCATGTCGGCATATTACACTGTGCAACGCCTGAGGAGTGCTGAGGTTACAAACAATGTACCCTGTGCACTCAGATGCTGCTTAGAGTCGAAAGGTATACCACACCCAGGGACTGACAACTCTTGACATGACCAGTCCATACCAGATTTTAGGCCACACTTTTTTAATTTTATGTTTCACAGATGTTTTCCCGCTTTTCCACACAAGGTCGGTCGAAATAAAAACACAAATAAATAGCTATGTCAATCATTTGTTCATTAATATTACTATCAGGAGACAAAATAAAAATAAATATATATAAGCTTAATTTATTTCTTTTCCAGCTGCTATTCAGTAGGGGCGGCGGGCCCATGAAACGAAAAGTAAAAAATGTGTGGCCTCACTGTCAGTTTGGAATGGAAATGCTGTGTGACCTGAGCCACACATCTGTAGTGAGAGATTAGTAAACCTTGCAAGGTGCGGTCAGCTTGTTAGAAAACAGTTCTGATGTTAAAAAGATGCAGATGGTGCAGTTTGGGGGACACTTTGTCAAAATACAGTCTGTTCAATCGGGTCCGGAAGTTGAGGACAGCTGGATGTACTTTGTTTGTTTGTTGTTTAACGCTTCAGTCAGCAATATTCCAGCTACCGTATTCGACGTAATAAGCGCCCAGGGCGCTCTCAAAATTAGAAATAGGGGGCTCTTATTAGAATATTATTTTGGTGAAAAAAAAACAGAGTTGAAAGATAAATTTCGTGGTTTATGCTGACAGACTGAAATGTAATATGCGACAGATATATTTTTTCCAGAATTTAATTGCCCATACTTCAGAATGCATATAACACACGAGTGCGTATTATACACGAATAAATAAGTCTTGTGTACATTGATCAATCGGAAGGGGTGCTGATTGGGATTGTTCACTAGCCAATATATTAGCAAATATCGCCGTGGGCGCTTATTAGAGCGGGGCGGTAATTACGTTGAATACGGTATATGACGGCAGTCTGTAAACAATCGAGTCTGGACAAGACAATCCAGTGATTGACATCATCAGCATCGATCCATGCAATTGGGATACGATGACGTGAATCAACCAAGTCAGCGAGCCTGACCACCCAGTCCCATGGGGATTCTGGGAACAATGGGGGTTCCCTTGGCCAAAGTGGGTGTATGCACACCTGAGACTTTTCTTGAGACAGTCTTCCTCTGTGATGCCATAGTATGTGAGTGTTTCATTCCACTCTGGGTTGAGAGTCTTGTGAATTGTCTTTGTCCTCATCTTGGTGGACTGAATCATTGAATCATATGCAAGCATTGAATCACATATCATTACATTCATATCTGGATATCATTCGGTAGTAAACCTCAATTCTACCATGACTTGGTGAAAAAAGATGAGAGGACTCAATTCACAATAACCACCTCTATAGAAAAGTTGACATCAAAGTTGCATGACTGAGTAAGCTAATACATTTAGAAATGCATGTCTTTTTCAATCACTGTCTGTAGTCATTTTATAATTATGATCAATACAATTGAAGTGATGCAATGCAGAGTGCCAGTTATTTCAATATTCAACATGTCTGGCAATACATTTTGGGCAGGAATACAACAGACAATAGGAGGACTGAATACCTGTGTACCTGTGATTACTGAATCGTACTAAACACATGGTACTTCAAATTTGAGTAGTAACAGAGAGCTGGAAACTTGATGCTGTGCATTTGGTTCCAAATTCAATGTAGCGCCATCAAATTTAAAGGTAACACAGCTCTAAACTGACAGATTTGCAGTGTGATCAGATTTCATTGCACTTGTGAAGTCCTTTTGAGGCATCTTTCTCAACGTCATTAAGAAATAACTGATTAAATCCTTCAGTTCTTTTCAATTCAACAATTCAATCAATTTTAAATGGAGAAAATCAAACTATGCCATTTATTAACCAGGCCTAAAGAAGTGAGATGTGACTTGAGGATGAAGAACTCATGAGACATCAGCTTACCTTGTTGGCACCGGGGAGGAGGTGCAGCTTAACATAGGGATCAGACAACCCATTGGAGTCCATGGCTTTCAAACCCTGTCAAGTATAGCCAAGTTATTTAACATGTGTTTCAAATTATGGAAATGTCAAAATTACTTCAAGATAAAGCAACCTTCACATGCAGATAGAAACACCAGTTCATTATGAGGTCATAGAGAGTCAGTGAGTCAGTATGGTTTTATGCCACTTTTAGCAATATTCCAGCAATATCACGACAGGGGACACTAGAAATGGGCTTCACACATTGTACCCATGTCGGGAATCGAACCTGGGTCTTTAGCGTGACGAGCAAACGCTTTAACCACTCTACCCGACCGACCCTTATAAGATCATAAAATGAGCCAGTGAATGTTACTTAATGAAGCATTTATCAATATCCCAGTGATGTGACGGCAGTAAGCAAATAGTCTGGAGCAGACAATGCAATCAATCAAGTCACTGAACCTGATCACCCAAACATTAGACGCTTCTTACAACAACATTGGTTGCTGGGGACCTATTCTGACCCGGGATCCCACGGGGTAGGGAAAGTCACACATCTTGAAATGGGATGAAAGTATGCCATACCCTTGCCCTGACGATGGTACAGTAGAGGGCGTTGTTGACCGAGTCGTACAGCAGGGAGAACTCCAGTGTGCCCAGGGATGCTGCAAGTACACATCATCAGTCTTATGCTTCCACAGTATCTCATAGTGATGAGATCTGTCACACAACAAATACAGCAAAACAAAGTTCTGGAGGTCATCGAATACGTCAGTTATGCAAAGTTTGAGACAAGCAGAGCTGATAAGGATTCTGTCAAAATAATTAACATCATCTGACATGATATATCAAGATAATGAAATACATGTACTGACACTTGATATCAAAATTATACATCTGAGATTAAAGAACTGTCGGACATGCTGGGAAAAATGCTTTTCTGGCTTCATTTAATAAATACGAATCATAGGACTATAAAACTAGCATACATCAAAATAACTCAAGTCTACCTAATCTAGCCTATCCTTCCTAACTGACACTGTGATTAGCCTTGAAGGTACTTTTACAGGTAAAATGATGATAAGCTTGTTGTCACGCATGTATGAAACGGCCTATAGCCTGAGGCAATTACGTAACACTTGTCCCGAGGTGATGACCTCACACCGGCCCGTGCATTCTCACCTGAGTTGGGGGTGGTCTCAAAATATTGCTGTTATTGTACTTAATTGAGATATGCGTCGACAGGGTAGCAATGAAGATATGTATTTCATTATGTTTGCTTGAAAAATGACGGACCAGTTAAAAGCAAAAAATGGGAGTATAGGAAGGTTGGGTTTTTGAATCAACAAGTATTCGTTGTTCAACAGATGATTTCTTTGGCAAGCTTCTGACTCAGCAGATGATGTATTTGAACCTGTATTATCACCAAAAGGTGTGATAACAAGTGCAACAAGGTTGATATCTACACTGCCACATTGGCATGACCTTCACTGACGTGACCTTCACCGACGTGACCATCAGCCTTCTGCCATGCCTCTGGTGTGATTCTAGAACATTACTATTATTATAACAGATCGGGTCACATGTGCCTATTTCTATAGTCCGTTTCAGACTGCCCTCATTGGACTTGGTGGTTTTTGCTCGAATCTTCCTCCTATAAACTTCTTGTTAGGACACCTTGTTACTGAAATACTTCAAACCACAGGTAGATGGATCGGAAGTCACTCGATATTTCAATAGCAACAATCTGTGAAAACTTCCAGCATTTTTCTAGCATTTCTGATAGTACTTTAACACTTTGTTTTATTGAGAGATGCCAACCCCAAATTGAGGAAAGCACGAATAACTTGAATGATTGCAATTGAGAACTAGAATATGTCATTTCCCAAAATGTCATTAAACACCACTGAGAATGGTTTTGATGGAACAAAACAGATCTTTGGCATTTCATCTAATCACCATACTCCTCAAGATGTGTCAACCAGTTGATTATTAACTGGTTGTGTATGCGTCAATGCCTCTGTTTATTTCTCATTTTGACATCCATAGTAATTGTTTATTTCTCCGTCATCTCACCACCATCACTGTCTGGTGAAGAAACCTGATCATCGTAGTCGTCCTGCTGCGATGTCTTCATATATCTGTCGACAGCAGAGTCAATATCAGCATCCTCTTCATGCCGAGCCGCAAGACGACTGGTCATTTCATGGCCGGAATGCATGGACCCCTGGCGGCTGAACCCTGTACAAGGAGGAGGAGAGAAGTTGTCATCCGTAGGTTTACATGGCCCTGGCTCTCCAAAGGATGCTGCTGTCTGTATTCGTAATGAACTTTGCATCATAGTTTTGGCCTTGGGTGTCTTTATTCAATTCAGACAGGCAGTAGTAAAATTGCCTACATTTCACAGCCTGCATATATGTTGGTAGGTTTGCTTGCTGTTGAACGCCGCACTCAGCAATATTCCAGCTATATGATGGCGGTCTGTAAATAATCAAGTCCGGACCAGACAATCCAGTGATTGACATCATGAGCATCGATCCACGCCATTCGGATCGATAACATACATCAACCAAGTCTGCGAGCCTGACCATCCGATCCCGTTGGTCACCTCTTCTACCTGAAGACCTATTCTACCCCGGATCTTCACGAGTCTCAGCATATATGTAGCACAGTTTGCAGATATCACATTCTGTATGTATCACTGCTGACAACACCAGACATCTATACCATTCTATGTCATTTTAAACACATGGACATGTTACATTATTTCAGCACATATCTTTAACACAAACATAATTCATTTATCAAAAGATTAGTTGGTATTTATCAAAACATTTATTCCGGAAAATAAAAAAAATATAATACCAAAACTAAAAATTTTGAACAGACCCTGCGGCCTTTGTATTACGGATTACCATAGTTACTATTGTTATCGTTTTCTGAGTCGTCATGGAGATCGTCTCCACGGCTACTCTCCGTCGCGCTCCAGTGTCCACCATGGTAGTTGCTGCTGGTGATGCTGTTCTTGCTGTCGGCCAGACTCTGCACCCCGTACAGGTGGGGAGCACTGCCCCGGCTCCCCATGCTCATGTTGTCACTCTCTGGAGGGAGGAGACATTGGGGGACAGTGAGACATGGATCAAGCCACTTGAATGATATAGTTAAATGCAGATGTTAGGATGGAATGTAAGAGTGAATATTATCCTACCCTATTTTTTATTCGGGGGATGAAATTCTCTAGTGTCAGGATGATTCTCCCTTGTGAATTTGAACCCATACCAGTGTGTTTAATCCTATAGATACTATACTGTAGAGTAAAACTTCCCCCGGGATAATATTTAGGTAGGATATTCCTTGCTTACAGTAACACTTCTGGAGGGGTTGTTTTACACTGTCCCACCTGGCTAGAAGTGAAGTTGGCGATACTATTGATTGAGTATGGTTTTATGCTGCTTTTAGCAATATTCCAGCAATATCATGGCAGGGAACACCAGAAATGGTGTATCCACACACTGTATCCAAGAAGGGAATCGAACCCGGGCCTCCATCGTGACGGGGGAACACTTTAACCACTAGGCAACCCCACTCCCCTTGGCAATACTAAAACATCATTACACTTGGATCTGCACCCTAAGTGAGACTGAGTGGTTTTGCGTGACTGTCCGCAATATTATGACCACACTGCTATATCCTGAAAATAACCAAACCAGTGGTTGACAGCATGAACAACTGGGACCCATAGAGACAAGCACAGGTCCTGGGGACCTACTCTGTATATGAATCCTAATGGAGACACTAGCATGGGTACTGGGGGCATATTCAGCCCCTTAATATCACCTGTCTTATTCAAATCATAGCACTTGTTCTGGGCGTGTCGAGACTATTCTCCACAACACTGAGCAGATGTGGTACCTGATTCTCCGCCTCTCTTGGACTTTGGCTTGGCGATGTTGTACTCGTCCTCGGAGCTGCTAGAGGACTCCTGGTCACTGCTCTCCCCGTAGCTGGCTGCAATACAGTCTGATGATCAAATAGGAATCAGCAAATATATTGTTCATCATATTTTAATCCAAAGTTACACATAATAGGACAGGCACTGAAATTAACAATTAAACTGGGATTTTCAGTGAGAAAATCAAACTGAAATTCAAAAAAATTTCATAAAATCAATTATTGCAGTCAAAGTTAAAATATTTCATAATGTCTACACATGAAGTCTCTAGGGCTACTCTTTATAGGGTGGACTGGTTTGTTGTGAGGTCTTCTTCATACCTTTTGTGGTGTGAGATGGCTAGGGCAGAGTGTGGAGGACCTACAGTGGTGTGAGATGGCTAGGGCAGGGTGTGGAGGACCTACAGTGGTGTGAGATGGCTAGGGCACAATGTGGAGGACCTACTGTGGTGTGAGATGGCTAGGGCAGGGTGTGGAGGACCTACAGTGGTGTGAGATGGCTAGGGCAGAGTGTTGAGGACCTACAGTGGTTTGAGATGGCTAGGGCACAATGTGGAGGACCTACAGTGGTGTGAGATGGCTAGGGCAGATTGTGGAGGACCTACTGTGGTGTGAGATGGCTAGGGCAGGGTGTGGAGGACCTACAGTGGTGTGAGATGGCTAGGGCAGAGTGTGGAGGACCTACAGTGGTGTGAGATGGCAGGGGCAGGGTGTGGAGGACCTACAGTGGTGTGAGATGGCTAGGGCAGAGTGTTGAGGACCAACAGTGGTTTGAGATGGCTAGGGCACAATGTGGAGGACCTACTGTGAGATGGCTAGGGCAGAGAGTGGAGGACCTACAGTGGTGTGAGATGGCTAGGGCAGGGTGTGGAGGACCTACAGTGGTTTGAGATGGCTAGGGCACAATGTGGAGGACCTACTGTGAGATGGCTAGGGCAGGGTGTGGAGGACCTAAGTGGTGTGAGATGGCTAGGGCAGAGTGTTGAGGACCAACAGTGGTTTGAGATGGCTAGGGCACAATGTGGAGGACCTACTGTGAGATGGCTAGGGCAGGGTGTGGAGGACCTACAGTGGTTTGAGATGGCTAGGGCAGGGTGTTGAGGACCTACTGTGGTGTGAGATGGCTAGGGCAGAGTGTTGAGGACCTGTGGTGTGAGATGGCTAGGGCACAATGTGGAGGACCTACTGTGAGATGGCTAGGGCAGGGTGTGGAGGACCTGTGGTGTGAGATGGCTAGGGCAGGGTGTGGAGGACCTGTGGTGTGAGATGGCTAGGGCACAATGTGGAGGACCTACTGTGTGAGATGGCTAGGACAGGGTTTGGAGGACCTACAGTGGTGTGAGATGGCTAGGGCAGAGTGTTGAGGACCTACTGTGGTGTGAGATGGCTAGGGCAGAGTGTTGAGGACTTTCTGTGGTGTGAGATTGCTAGGGCAGAGTGTGGAGGACCTACATTGTGAGATGGCTAGGGCAGGGTGTGGAGGACCTACACTGGTGTGAGATGGCTAGGGCTGAGTGTGGAGGACCTACAGTGGTGTGAGATGGCTAGGGCAGAGTGTGGAGGACCTACATTGTGAGATGGCTAGGGCAGGGTGTGGAGGACCTACAGTGGTGTGAGATGGCTGGGGCAGAGTGTGGAAGACCTTCTGTGGTGTGAGATGGCTAGGGCTGAGTGTGGAAGACCTACAGTGGTGTGAGATGGCTAGGGCAGGGTGTGGAAGACCTTCTGTGGTGTGAGATGGCTAGGGCTGAGTGTGGAGGACCTACACTGGTGTGAGATGGCTAGGGCAGGGTGTGGAAGACCTTCTGTGGTGTGAGATGGCTAGGGCAGGGTGTGGAAGACCTTCTGTGGTGTGAGATGGCTAGGGCAGGGTGTGGAAGACTTTCTGTGGTGTGAGATGGCTAGGGCAGGGTGTGGAGGACCTACACTGGTGTGAGATGGCTAGGGCACAATGTGGAGGACCTACTGTGAGATGGCTAGGGCAGAGTGTTGAGGACCTTCTGTGGTGTGAGATGGCTAGAGCAGAGTGTTGAGGACCAACAGTGGTTTGAGATGGCTAGGGCACAATGTGGAGGACCTACTGTGAGATGGCTAGGGCAGAGAGTGGAGGACCTACAGTGGTGTGAGATGGCTAGGGCAGGGTGTGGAGGACCTACAGTGGTTTGAGATGGCTAGGGCACAATGTGGAGGACCTACTGTGAGATGGCTAGGGCAGGGTGTGGAGGACCTACAGTGGTTTGAGATGGCTAGGGCAGGGTGTGGAGGACCTACAGTGGTTTGAGATGGCTAGGGCAGGGTGTTGAGGACCAACAGTGGTTTGAGATGGCTAGGGCAGGGTGTGGAGGACCTACAGTGGTTTGAGATGGCTAGGGCAGGGTGTTGAGGACCAACAGTGGTGTGAGATGGCTAGGGCAGGGTGTGGAGGACCTACAGTGGTGTGAGATGGCTAGGGCAGAGTGTTGAGGACCTACAGTGGTTTGAGATGGCTAGGGCACAATGTGGAGGACCTACTGTGTGAGATGGCTAGGGCAGGGTGTGGAGGACCTACAGTGGTGTGAGATGGCTAGGGCAGAGTGTTGAGGACCAACAGTGGTTTGAGATGGCTAGGGCACAATGTGGAGGACCTACTGTGAGATGGCTAGGGCAGGGTGTGGAGGACCTACAGTGGTTTGAGATGGCTAGGGCAGGGTGTGGAGGACCTACAGTGGTGTGAGATGGCTAGGGCAGAGTGTTGAGGACCTACAGTGGTTTGAGATGGCTAGGGCACAATGTGGAGGACCTACTGTGTGAGATGGCTAGGGCAGGGTGTGGAGGACCTACAGTGGTGTGAGATGGCTAGGGCAGAGTGTTGAGGACCAACAGTGGTTTGAGATGGCTAGGGCACAATGTGGAGGACCTACTGTGAGATGGCTAGGGCAGGGTGTGGAGGACCTACAGTGGTTTGAGATGGCTAGGGCAGGGTGTGGAGGACCTACAGTGGTGTGAGATGGCTAGGGCAGAGTGTTGAGGACCTACAGTGGTTTGAGATGGCTAGGTGAGGTGAGGTGAGGTGAAATTGGGTTTAACGTCGCGTCCAAGATTATTGCACTTATATAGCGACGTGCATGCACGTGTATGTGTGTGTGTGGCTGCTTGTACTAGTCCGGACTGATGCCGATTTATAGTGCTAGCTCACTGAGATACCATGCCGCAGTTTAACATGAATACCCCACTCAGACACAGTATACTGACTCCGAGCCGACCAGTCCTTGTTTTAGCCCCTTAATGCCGAGCGCCAGACAGGGTAACAACAAGTACAATCTTTTAACGTCTTTTTGTATGACGCGGCCCGGGATCGAACCCCGGACCTTCCGCTCTCCGGGCGGACGCTCTACCACAAGACCACGGAGGCGGTCGAGATGGCTAGGGCACAATGTGGAGGACCTACTGTGAGATGGCTAGGGCAGGGTGTGGAGGACCTACAGTGGTGTGAGATGGCTAGGGCAGGGTGTGGAGGACCTACAGTGGTTTGAGATGGCTAGGGCAGGGTGTGGAGGACCTACAGTGGTGTGAGATGGCTAGGGCAGAGTGTTGAGGACCTACAGTGGTTTGAGATGGCTAGGGCACAATGTGGAGGACCTACTGTGTGAGATGGCTAGGGCAGAGTGTGGAGGACCTACAGTGGTGTGAGATGGCTAGGACACAGTGTGGAGGACCTGTGGTGTGAGATGGCTAGGGCAGAGTGTGGAGGACCTACTGTGTGAGATGGCGAGGGCAGGGTGTGGAGGACCTACAGTGGTGTGAGATGGCTAGGGCAGGGTGTGGAGGACCTACAGTGGTGTGAGATGGCTAGGGCAGAGTGTTGAGGACCTACTGTGGTGTGAGATGGCTAGGGCAGAGTGTTGAGGACTTTCTGTGGTGTGAGATTGCTAGGGCAGAGTGTGGAGGACCTACATTGTGAGATGGCTAGGGCAGGGTGTGGAGGACCTACAGTGGTGTGAGATGGCTAGGGCAGGGTGTGGAAGACCTTCTGTGGTGTGAGATGGCTAGGGCAGGGTGTGGAAGACCTTCTGTGGTGTGAGATGGCTAGGGCAGGGTGTGGAAGACTTTCTGTGGTGTGAGATGGCTAGGGCAGGGTGTGGAAGACCTTCTGTGGTGTGAGATGGCTAGGGCAGGGTGTGGAGGACCTACACTGGTGTGAGATGGCTAGGGCAGAGTGTTGAGGACTTTCTGTGGTGTGAGATGGCTGGGGCAGAGTGTGGAGGACCTACACTGGTGTGAGATGGCTAGGGCAGAGTGTTGAGGACCTACACTGGTGTGAGATGGCTAGGGCAGGGTGTGGAAGACCTTCTGTGGTGTGAGATGGCTAGGGCAGGGTGTGGAGGACCTACAGTGGTGTGAGATGGCTAGGGCAGAGTGTGGAGGGCCTACAGTGGTGTGAGATGGCTAGGGCAGAGTGTGGAGGGCCTACAGTGGTGTGAGATTGCTAGAGCAGAGTGTCGAGGAACTACAGTGGTGTGAGATGGCTGGGGCACAGTGTGGAGGGCCTACAGTGGTGTGAGATGGCTAGAGCAGAGTGTGGAGGACCTACAGTGGTGTGAGATGGCTAGGGCAGAGTGTTGAGGACCTACAGTGGTCTGAGATGGCTAGGGCACAGTGTCGAGGAACTACTGCAGCAGTCCTTGCCAAACTGCCTAATGGTATAGGTATCATAAGGACGAGTAGAGATTTGCCCTTTTTAAGGGTTTTGCTATATGTTATCATCATAAGGACCATTGGACGAAAACTGTTAGTTTCTAACGCTGCTACTGTAGTGTGAGATGGCTAGGACACAGTGTTTAGGGTAAACCCACCTGTGCTAGAGCTGCCCCTGGCTCGATGCCAGGTGTAGGAGTCCCGCAACTGTGTCCCTGGTCGCCCCTTCGTGGACTGCCTCAGCTGCTGCGTCCGCCCACCTCGCTGGTACTTGCTCCCCTCAGACTTGATCTTCTCGGGGATCACATACTTGGGTAGGCCCTTGAAGAACCAAGCACCGGAACGCTTCCACACCTACCGAGACCGGTACACAGTGAGACAAAACTGCAGGGACAGCTTATCAGATGTTACCAGCGTGATTTTATAGAAAAAGGTCATTACAACATGAATGTAGTCATTATAGTTTGTTTGTTTGTGTGTTGTTTAACTCACACTCAGCAATATTCTAGCTATATGACATCATTAGCATTGATCTACACAATTGGGATACGATGACATGTATAATGACATGACAAGTCAGCGGGCCTGACCACCTCTTACGACAAGCGAGGTCGCCTCTTAAGACAAGCATGGGCTGCGGGAGACCTATTCTAACTCTTATCTTCATGGGTAATGGTAGTCATGATAACATGACAGCTCTTACAAATAAGAAATGACCAGAACTGATTTCACATTCCCTAGATTCCTGTAACCAGGGCTTTTAGCACTTTACCCGATGCAAAATATTACATCCTATTCTCAAACAAATTGGAAAAGTCCCTAAGGATTTAACAAGGACAGTTGTATGAATCATTCAGATTTAATCAATTTTAGTATGAATTTCAAAACAAAATGATATTTCTATTCTGTGCAGAAATACAGCTGAGACTGTCCATACATAAGATTTTCAAGAGATGGTTTCTACCTGTACATGTCCATATCTGAACAGGGTTAACTCTTAAAATATCTGTGCAAATGTCATTACAGTGCATTTGATTATATCTGATTGGAATATTGGACTCCTGAAAAGTTTAATTACTTAGTCAATATAGATTTGGGATAATAAATTACTCTTTTATTTCAAAATTTACCTCACGCTGTTCGCTGCAAATCTTACATATCCACAGCTGCTGCTTGCCCCCGCTCCAGGTGTCCACCCCACACTTGGAACACACCGCCTGGAACAGTCAGAGTTGTCCGACACCCGTCAACAAGGATAGTTGTCCTACACCCGTCAACAAGGAGTGTTGTCCTACACCAGTCAACAAGGAGTCTTGTCCTACACCCGTCAACAAGGAGTCTTGTCCTACACCAGTCAACAAGGAGTCTTGTCCTACACCCGTCAACAAGGATAGTTGTCCTACACCCGTCAACAAGGAGTGTTGTCCTACACCCGTCAACAAGGAGTGTTGTCCTACACCAGTCAACAAGGAGTCTTGTCCTACACCAGTCAACAAGGAGTCTTGTCCTACACCAGTCAACAAGGAGTCTTGTTCTACACCAGTCAACAAGGTATCGGGCTGCGAGTAACCAGTGATTGATAGCACCTCTCTCTGTCTCTCTCTTTGTGCATTTTTGTTCTAGTCCTGACTAATGCCAATTTTATAATGCTAGCCCACTGAGATACCATGCTGCGGTTTAACATGGATACCCCACTCAGACACAGTATACTGACTCTTGAGCCAACCAGTCCTTGTTTTAGCCCCTTAATGCCGAGCGCCAAGCATGGTGACAAGTACATTTTTAATATGACATGGCTGGGGATCGCACACAGGACCTTCCGCCCTCCAAGCAGACACTCTACCACCAGACCATGGAGATGGTCGAATCAATCATAAAACATGTATCAAAAGCATGATCACATATCCTAAGAGTGTTGTATACAAAACTTCATGCATAATTTTATTTTATTTTTGATATTCTAAACATTAATTCACTTTTCCACAATCATGAAGCAACAATAGACCACGACGTGACCATGACCCTCCTGTGAAGGAAGTTACTATGGTTACGGCTGTACCTTTTTACATGAATCACAGAAGGTGGGCGAGGCTCCAAGAAGTCCGAACTCATCCCCACACAGAACACACTGGGTTGTTCCATTACCGATACAGTTCTTCCTCATGTTATCCAGTTTGTCCACCAGACGACTGTCAACACATAATCACATTTTGTCATGAACCAGGACCAACTCAATCTTCTCCTAGTTCAGAGCACATTTTGGACTTTTGGATATTTTATGTAAAATAACCTGATTTGGGGAGAAAACAACTCCCTGTAGAGTTATACTATTTTCAGACGAATGGCCTAGTGGCAGTGTCTATCCTTGTTATATGGTTCATGATTAGCTGAGCCTACTAGACTGAACAGAATTTTACTTGACACACACTTGGGACTAGAGGTTGAAGACTGGGTATATCTACAAAAGCCTAATGGTGCCACTTTGGTAGCACAAAGATTTTTTTTAAATGAACATTTCTTGTTTTTTCAATTATTTGTTTGTTTTCTGGAAATTTTGAGTTTTTTTCTCTCTTAAATTTGATCATATTTTTGTAATTTCAATTATTTTCTCATTACTTAGAGTTTTTTCTCTCATAATTTCAAGTTTTTTCTTGTTATTTCAAGTTCTTGTAAAAAACTTAATATTTAAAAAAATTACACTTTACTTCAATTATTTTTGAAATTTCAACTTTTTTAATCAACTTATTATTTTGAAAACATAATTGAAATACCAAAAAAATAATCCAAGTAATCCAAAATTTGATTTAAAATAAATAAATCAATGCTAAGTGGAAAGTTTGGGTTTTTGTAAATACATTTGTATCTACATGTACTACCAAAGTAACTACACGACCACAATTCGTTATTCCAGATATTGTTACCACGGAGATCCATATTTTGCTTCCTAAGAAAAATATCACAGATCTGATGTGGTCATTTTTGCCTTACCCAATCCTCTCCTGTTCGATTTGTTCGAGATAATCGGCTCGGTTGATGACACGCATGATCTGCTCCTGCTCGTCCAGATTCAGCTGGTCGTTCTTGTGGAACTGAGCCATACGGTTTGTGTGTACTGACCAGCCTGTGCCCAGCCTGGAAGCAGATCGAATGATATTGTCAGGCACCACACAGACAGACAAGCTGAGTCAGAGACTATCATTGGTCATATTTCTGTCCCATTTGAACAAACAACACAAAAAACGACAAAAAAAACAAGACATAAAACAGAGACATCTCTAGTAGCCTGAAAGCATAATTCCTAGGTAAGCTGGGTGCTGACGTAAATCATGCACAATAAATTACCACAACCCAAGTGTTTTTGAACATAAATGAATATATAAAAGAAAACTAAGTGCAGTAGAACATGGATATAATGAACTACAAGGGACTGGAGAAATCAGTTTGTTATATACGTTGTTCGTTATATACGTTTTCGCTCGGAAACAGCCGGCATCTTGGCAAACAAAACACAATACCATACACGTTTATACACATTTCCTCCCAATCTACCGGTGATTCAGTTACAAAGTACCCAATGATACAACTTCAAAACATTTTGATGCAATGGTCGGAAGAAATTGTATCAGAAATTATTATTTTATCAGAATAATATATTCCAATATCGTGTTATTTTAGTTACAGCTTTCACTATATTTATTTGAAATAATAAGAACTTTAAGCGTAGCACATTAGTACATGTGATTGCTATTGCCTGACATTTTTACATATGGAACAATTTGACCAGTCACCATAGGGACTTCCTGCGCTACATGTATTTCGTTTGGCGAAAACGTCATATTGACATTTAATGGTCAAGCTGCCTCAAATATGACTTTTAATAGGTCAAAGTATGGCATTAGTGATACATGTATCCATTCTCTTGCAACTAAAGCTCGTTTCAAGGCGTCAATAGCAGTAAACTGACTGTGGTTGCTGCAAATAACGGTGAGGTGTGAGATGTACCGATCACTTCACACACAATTTCACCAAAATTAATGTAAACATTATTGAATGAAATTTGTTTGTTTTACAAACAAGATTAGTCCAATTACATGGACAGGTAAGAGTAACGTAATGTAAGTTTTAACAAGTTTGAATCATCACCAGTGACTGTGTTGTTTCGCCGTGATTGTGTTCATTCGCCTCTGATTACATACAGCCAATTGTCAGTGACACTTGACACTAAGTGAGACTTCCACATTTCGCAATAGATGTCACTAATTTGTGGTAGATGGGCTTGTCGTGATCAGATATCAGATATACAGCAAACTAGTTCGTTATGTATGTAAATTTCATATGGTAATATGTAGGAGATAAATCGGGGATTTTTTCACACTTCCTTGTATTTTGTTTGTTCACTCAATCCGTGTTCATTATATCTGTGTTCTACTAGTTTATTGACCAGGGGTACGGAAACAGTCATATGCGCCGGACATGTCCGATTAGGAATCTCCGATTTAAAATATTGCTTACCGGACATTTAAATTTTTCTGTCCGGACATTTTAAAAAACAAACAACGCTACCTTCGGGGTCCAAATAATTGATGAGCGTTATCGTATCCCTTCAACGACTTCAGGTGAATAAACAGGCATAACAAACTTGGTCAATAAAAGTAAGAAATTTGATATAAAACATCACTAGACATGATGATTTTAACATTTAAAATGTATTTCCTGCTCTCAAAGGCATTGTTTTATATGCAGAGCTTAAGTTTACCGTGTGTATTTTCTCGTAAACTAAGCTGAAAAAAGCAATTAGCTGTGCACACGTTTCCTCCAAATCTACCGGTGATTCAGTTACAACGTAGCCAGTGATACCACTTTAAAGAATTTTGATGCAAAGGTGGGAGGAAAATGTATCTGAAATTATTATTTTATCAGGAAAAATATATTCCAATATTGTGTTATTTTAGTTCCACCATATATACTTAAAATTATAAGAACCATAAGCGTAGCACTTTGGTACAAATGGTATGCTGGATATTCTCGCGCTCAATATTATTGACGCTGTGTGTAATTACCAAACGTAGCCTTTTCAGCTTGTGTACCTGTTCATCTCTGCAAATCTTTATATACTGAATGAAGACAGGCACCACATATACATAAATCTACAGTGAATAATGCTAAAAGTTCTACATCTGGCTAATTACAACTTAGACATGAACTGCTGTTATAAGCTTCTGCGATGTGTCACACACCCGGGCATCACATCAACAGATGCAAATCAGAACTGATTGAGGTTGATTCATTGGTTTAGAAATGAGAGGGGATACTGTTGTTTGACGTTGCCAACAGCGACATGAGCCAAGTGAACAAGTGGTTGACGACAAGAGCAGCGGTGTTTGAAGCTGCCACCAGCAATATGATCCAAGTGAACCAGTGGTTGACGACAAGAGCAGCTGTGTTTGAAGCTGCCACCGGCAACATGATCCAAGTGAACCAGTGGTTGACAACAAGAGCAGCCATGTTTGAAGCTGCCATCGGCAACATGAGCCAAGTGAACCAGTGGTCGACGACAAGAGCAGCCATGTTTGAAGCTGCCATCGGCAACATGAGCCAAGTGAACCAGGGGTTGACGACAAGAGCAGCAGTGTTTGACGCTGCCACCGGCAACATGAGCCAAGTCAACTAGTAGTTGACAACATGGTCAGCAGTGCTTGACGCTGCCACCACGCAACATGAGCCAAGTGAACCAGTGGTCGACAACAAGAGCAGTGGTGTTTTACGCTGCCACCGGCAACATGAGCCAAGTCAACTAGTGGTCGACGACAAGAGCAGCCTTTTTCGACGCTGCCACCACCAGCATGAGCCAAGTGAACCAGTGGTCGATGACAAGAGCAGCCGTGTTTGACACTGCCACCGGCAACATGGGCCAAGTCAACTAGTTGTTGACAACATTGTCAGCGGTGCTTGTGCAGCAACCTGCAACATGAGCCAAGTGGACCAGTGGTTGACGATATGAGCAGCAGTCCATGTTGTCAGGATACGATTACCCACATTAAGACATCACTCAGACTCTCATAACAGAAGTACTCAACAGTTTTACAAGAAAGCCAACACCATGCCCATAAACATGACAAAAGCTATTTAAGTTGTGAACATGTCAGTGGTGGATGTCGCATGCCCGGAGTAATCAGTAGGTACAGCCCTGTCTGCACATCTGTCTACTGAGGAGGGAAGGAAATGTGTTATTGATCAGATCTGGACTAGCTGTTTGTAATGTTTTACATGATCCAACCCTGTCTCAACAATCAGATATAACATCTATTACCTCAGGGCGTGTCTTGAAATGTATGCAGGAAGCAGTACCACACAAGTAGTGAGTGAGAGAGTGAGTTGGGTTTAACGTTGCTTATAATATTATTCCAGTTATGTCACGGCGTGTAAGCTCAATGTGGGAGGAAAGCCCCAAGTGATGCAGGTCTCAGAAGTTTACCCCTTCAGTAAAACCCACTAGCACGGGTATGGTGCTGACAAACCTTGAAACAAAATCGGGGATTCGGGGGATTCGACCCAACAATAAAAGGTTTCTGGCATGCCCAAGGGACGTAACTCTGCACAGCGAATCACCACAAGTAATGAGACTGCATACAAACAGGGACTGATACATCGTGAAATCGATACAAATTCATGAATACCGGTACTAAATTATTAATAATTAACTTCCACAGAAATGTTTACATCTATTAAGAGTAACATTGTTATAGGTGGACAAAAATGAAGGCAGAAAATTCAATCTTAATCATTTAATGGATCTGCCTTGAGTAGTAGTATGTGTTTACATATATCATCAAGTGTACTTTAATTTCAGCTTCTATTTCAATTCCTAAGTCTTAGTCCTTGCTCAAGCACTCAATCTAACCTGCTTCACTACAACAATAGCACAGTCACCATTGCGCTTGCTTGCTCTATTGTTTTCTCTGGGTTTCTATTGTCTTGCCCCAGCCCCTTACATTCAGTGACAGGGTGCCTCATGTGGCGGTCAGTTCTCTCACACTTCCACTGGAGTCTCTCTTGGGCAAGTCAATGTTAACATATTTCCACTTATCACGGGTTAGTTTATGTGTGAACTGTATATTTGTGTTCTTATTTAGTGTTGTAGTATTTATAAGGGTTTAATCAGGTGCATGTGTATTATTTCTTTGCTTCTTTTAAAATGTATGTATATCGTTATGTGTGGTAAATAAAAATTACATCAGCTATCCACAGGAACTGGATGATAGCGTGTATAGCATAATATATGTGTTTAGAACTGGGATATAGTGTGATATAGTGTGATATAGTGTGATATAGTGTGATTTCTTTCCATACAAATATATTATGCTATACATGCTGTCATCGAGTTCCTGTGCAGCTATCTTTTTCAAGTAAATGTAGTATAACGAGGTTTGCTTAAATACTTTATGAATGTAAGTAACTTTATTTTAGCTAATTTAAAAAAGTATTCACATGTGCATATGTTACTTATCGTGTACATGTAAGTGAATATATTGTCTACATATGTTATAGCTATATACCTTTAAACTAATTACAGTTCTGCACGTAGGAAAGAATGTACAGTAGAACAGTGATATAACCAACTATAAGGGACAGGAGAAATCAATTTGTCATATAAATTGTTTGTTATATATGTTTTTTTCCTCGAAACGTCCACCATCTTGGATAAAACGAAAGATAATAATTGCAGCATTAAATGTTTAAGTTTTATTTTACATTCAAGAATTGTCCAATTACAGGTAAGATAAACATAAAACAAGTTTAACGAGGTTGAATCATCGCTGATTGTCTTGACTTGCCACTGTCAGCAATAAAAATGAACTAGGCTGTAATTTCATGGCTCAATCGAAGTGCCACCAGTGGCAATTACAAGTTATGTACCTCCTATCAGATTGACCAATCAGATTCCACCTCACATCACTTGCATTTGCTTCAAACAAAATGGCAGCCCCCAGTCAAGACAATATGATTGATAATCAAGAACCATATTGTAATAAAATGGGTCTTACATCGCCAGTGCATCAAATCATTTGAGCACCTTGATTAAAAACATGAAAAGATTTGGAAAATATCTGTTTACACCCAGTTGATGGTAC